GCACCTTTACCCAGAGGGGGTTGGAGCTCATCAGCAGCAGGTCAGCACACCACCCTCTGCGTCTCGTACCAAACCCAAACAGGAAGACAACAGTAATGACATTATCTGGAAGATTTCAATATGAACATCTCATCTGTATCTTATTTTGGTTTATGATTTCTAATTACAGGTTCAGTCAGTTTAAAAAAAGAAAATTAATTTTGTATATAACATTAGTTGTGCTCAAAAGTGACATAGGCATTAATAATCCAACAAAAGATTTTTATTTCAAATTTTTTGGTCACTTTAGATCAGGGTCTAATTCTCACTATTAACTAACTATGACTTTTGCCTCAATAGACTACTAATTACTGCTTATTAAAAGTTTAGGTATTGGGTCAGGTAGATTAAGGGATAGAATATGGTCATGCAGAATAAGGCCTTAATATGTGATTTGTAAGTACTAATAAACAGCCAGTATCCTAGTAATATGCATGATAATAAGCAACTTTCTATTTATTAAGTAATCCTGAAAATTGTATCATGGTTTTAACAAAAATGTTAAGCGATGATAATTATAAAAAATGTTTCTTGAGCACCAAATCATTATATTATTAGGATTTATGAAGGATCATGTGGCACTAAAGACTGGAGTAATGACTGCTGAAAATTCAGCTTCGCCACCACAGGAAAAAAATATATTTTGAAATGTATTAAAATAGAAAACATTTATTATATTAAAATGGTTGTTTTATATTTCACAATAATTTTAATTTATTTTTGATCAAATGAATGCAGCCTTTGTGAGCATAAGACATTCTTCAAAACATTTTAGAAATCCTTCCTGACCCAAACATTTTTAACAGTAGTGTACGGTGTATTACGATGTGTATTTTTAGTACTGTATCTGGCCTGTATTTGAATAAATAATTGTATTTTCTATATTTCATCTTCACCCATGTAGGTTACAGCCTATTTGCACAAAGATTATAACAACATGTGGTTGGTCAAGAGACCTGACAACTCTGACGGTGAGTTCTTTTACATGTTTGCACTACTTTACTATCCTATATCGATACTGCACAAGAGTCAATAACTCCTGTTCTCTACTAAGATCTCACAGGGTCACCAGAGCTGGTCCGAAATGGTGACATTATTAGACTGGAACACAAAGAGTAAGCATCAAGTTTTTTTGTTGTTGTTTTTTTTTTAATGTAAAAGTGAAAATAATAGTAACAGTGCACCCCTAATTCTCCTCATCAGAACTACAAGGAATCTTCACAGTCATTTCCATGAAGCTCCACTGACCAAAAAACACCTGCAGGTCACAGGATACGGCATTGTGAGTACTATACTATTTTCATGTACTACAAGTTCATTGCTATAGAGTGCTGCAGTGATGATGTATTCCGACAACTCGTTTATGGGTTTTGGACAACAAAAATACGTCATCCCTGGAGCTCCTTATAGAAACTAAACCTTTTAGAAACCTATCAGTTGATCAGGTGGTTTCATGTTTTATCAGTGTAACAGATTCAGTTTGTTTTAGTTCAAGTTGTAGATTTAAATATTTTAATAATATCTGATCGCCTGCAAAAGGATGATCTCATACTACTAGATAACAGCGAACTGCAGTGCAGCTTTAACCCTCTTATGAACGTTGATCATTTTTATAAGTTGACAGTAGCATCATCAAACTGAATCTCTTTTCATTTCAGAATGGAAGCGGAGACATGAATGACTTGTGGCAGGTGGAGGTGTGTGGAGGGAGAAAGGGAGATCCGGTGAAGGTGCTGCGTAGTAAAGTGCGCTTTCTCCATCGCTCCACGGGTTGTGTGCTTTGCTCCTCTGGAAAGACCCTACCCAAGTGGTGAGAGCGTTTGTTCAGAGAAAACTCAGATCAGGAGTGCATAACAAATCACAAAAATACTTTTTTAAACTGCATTTTACTTTTCAATAGGGGATGGGAGCAAGTGGAGGTCACATGTAGCCCATATGTCAAAGAGACCCCCAACTCCCAGTGGAACATTGAAGATCACATCAACCCTAAATGTATGTACATATAGCTACATTTTAAAAATATGATAATAGGTGGAATTGTGCCGGCTGGATAGGTTTTTCACATCTTTGTGTATCTGCAGTGCCCAACATCAGTCTTTTAGTGCTCAAACCCACTTTCCTGGAGATCCTCTGGGAGTCTCATATTGTGATGATCAGGGTAAGATTTTCACATGGGAATATTTTATTAATTAATTTTATAGGGTTTAAGTTTAATAAAACGTGTTTTTTTTGTTTTGTTTAGGGAAACAGTGGTTTGAAAGCCAAAGACAATGAGGTGAACTCTAAGCCCTGGCACTGGCCCATCAACTATCAGGTAAGTTGTGTAAAATCTGATTAAAGTCAGATTAAAGAAAAAGCAGTGTTTTTTAATAGCAGTGTTGTGTTAATGTTATAGTATTTATTCATATTTTGAATTAACTTTTAGTTTGTTTTAATAAATTTGTTATTTCTATTTAACTTTAAGTTCTTTAAGGTTTTTAACATTTTTATATTAAGATCAAAGTTCACAATAAAATTAAATGTTTTATTTAATTGGTAGTTATTGTCTCCCAAAAGAAAAAAACTTGATTCTGAACTGGTGAAACGAGTAATTCCAGTAATGCCAGCCTATAGTTTTCATTGTTCTGCCCACGAATAACATCTACCTTCAAACACTAGTTTTAGTTGAAGTTTGTAAGCGGTAGACCAATCACAACACACTGAAAAGGACGGGAATGATCCATTTAGAGAGACTGAATCTTCAAGCAAACCATTTTCAGACCCTTTGAGAAATGTGGTGATGTCTGATGTGCAAAAGACCCCCAAAACAAAATTAGGAGCTTTTAATTAGAGCCTCTTTAAGTTTTAGTTTTATTAATTTTAGTATTTCAATTAATTTTATTTTAGTTAGTTCCCAGCAAAAAAAAAGTTTTTCGATTTAGTTACCATAACAGGAATGTTTTGAAAATTCACATCTGTTTACTATCTCATCATTATTCATCATAATTCATCATAATAGGGTTTGAGGTTTTCTGGAGTAAATGAGACGGAGTACCGTGTTTATCTACTCGGGAACCCTGTAAGTGTCTGTCCTTTTTATGCCCTCTATTTGCTAAGATCTCCTGTCCTGTCATTGCCAAAACATCATATTTCATCCTCAGGTTATCTGGTGGCTTAATCTATTGAGTCTGGCTCTATTTGTTGTCATGCTGACCGTGGCTTCTTTAGCCGTACAGAGAGGAGTGAAGATGGAGGGAATGAGAAAAGGTAAGCAGCATTGCAGATTGTGCAGTACAAGAGCCAATCAGAAGTCTAAAACAGCTGGTGTTTTCTTTTAGTGCACTGTCATGTTCTCATGGAGGGTGGTGGGATGCTGTTTTTGGGCTGGCTGTTACACTACCTCCCGTTCTACATCATGGGTCGCATACTCTACTACCACCATTATTTTCCTGCCATGCTGTTCAGCAGTATGCTCACAGGTACAAAGGCAAACCAGATAGCCAAAGAGCAGAAATCGGCTGATATACTTATCAAAATATTGTCATATAGACTAAAGGTTAATAATTAGCCTTATGTAAATTGTGTAAAACATACTTTGGACTTTAAAATGATTTGGTCATCTTTAATTGGCATATTTGTTGGCACAAAATTACAGTTAACATATTTAATGACCTTTTTTATTTAAGGTATTACTCTGGACATCTTCCTTCAGAATTTTCAACTTCTCTTTAGTTCATCCATGTCCCATTATCTTCTGAGGGGAGGTCAATCTATACTCTTGTTAGGGTTCATCTATAGGTAAGGCTCATATAGGTTCTATAGGGTGTATATCTACAGTATAGGCTCCACAATGTTTAAATTTAGTTGTTTTGGACTCATAACAGCTTTATGCTTTTTACAAACTCTTTACAAAATTTCTCGTTTCTCGAATTTTCTATGTATTATGTTAGCTTGGGTCACAAATTTAGGCCATTTCTTCTGAAATCTCTTCTGTCCATCTCCTTTCAGCTTTTACCTCTTTCACTCTCTCTCCTATGGCATGAGGGGGCCGCTGGCACATGACCCTGCCTCCTCCATGGCCGGCCTCAGGTGGATGGAATCCTGGGAATTTTAGACAACATTTCTAATCAATTTTAGACCATTTATCTTGGGCCTTAAAATGTTTTAAATATTTATTTGTTACAAGTTGACTGAATCATTTCATTGTTGAAGGACAGCCTTTACTCTGTTGTTGAAACTTTTGAAAATTGATGAAACTTTTTAAAATTGTATTTTAAAGTTACAGTATTTTACAGTCATGCTTTTTTGATAGTGTTCACCTGCTTTTGCTTCTCTGAAATAAACTGATAGAAGTAATAAAGTGCCTTTCAGATTTCACATTTATAGACTTTGTATAATGTATTCACCCCCTTGATTGTGGTTTTACATTTCATTTGTTACATATTGTGTTTTTCACTATTTAAGAAGAAATGTATGAATTGTTGTATTCAAAAATTTTGACATTTTTTTTCCCAATTAGATTGCCTTACTATAAAATTTCAATTGGATTCATGTTGGGAGCCTGGCTATATAGTTCTGGAATATAATAATGTTATTTGATAGATTTTTTGCTTTCGTAATTGTCTTCAATGCAGATGAATGACTGACCGAAATGAATACATTAAAAAAATGTCCGTGTATGAGGGTTTTATTTGTTGCATTGGATAGCAAAACCGTGTCTTACTGAAAATATTATATATATAAACCACAATGCTTAGTGGAAGAATGGTATTTGTTTTGGGGGTGTATATTTGGTAAGTTTAATATCTCAAAAGTTGTATGTATTTTCTTAAATCTGTCCTGGTTAACACAGATTGAATCTTGAACTCGGTGAGTTTCATTAAAACCTACTGTTGCTTCTCGGGTAAGTTGAAACTGATGTTTACCAATGATTCACATTTCCCTGTCAATGGTTGCGACAGAGCGCAACATGAGAGGGGGTGGCTACAGAGATCCACTGCCTTCAGTCATTGGTTTCCTCAAATCACGTGTGTTGTTGTCAAGATGGCGTCTCCGAATGGAGGTAAATTTTAATTCTTCTTTTCCATGGTAGCATTAGTTGTTAATGTAGCCATGCAACGGATCAGTTAAAGCTTATAAACCGTTATGCTGTTCAGCATATTATCTTAAATAATTAACAATTGAGTTTCAAAAGAAGCTTTTACCTCGGAATAGCGTGATAAAATTGTTTAGAGTCAGTCATTAGCAAGCTAACGTAACCGACATCAGTTAAATAATTACGAATATAATGGTGCAGCGGTTACGCGAAGAATTTTTTTTTTGTATCTTGCATATATATATTTTTTAAAATGTGTTTTTGTATATATTTGTCAAGCATTGATATTCAATACAGCAAGTTCAGCTTGATCACAACAATGCACAATTGAGTAATCATAACTTAAAATCCCACATTCCCACTCCAATGTGACCTGTCATAACTTTACTTGTATACTAAATATTATATCCTGATTAACACGTGAGGACTGCTGTTCCCAAACATTTTAACTCACTGTATTATTATTTTTTTATTATCTGTTCTATTTTAATGAATGTTAATTATTATTATTTTCTGAACCAGTGTTGTAATAAGGAGTATGATTGTTTTTATATATAGGTGAGGACTTTGAGTCCTCTCTGCTGAGTTATGAAAAACTTGATCGGGCTTCACCTGACCTGTGGCCAGAGCAGCGTGAGTTTGATTGTCTAATGTCATTGAACAGTACTTTATATCATATTCACAGATGTTTTCACATATGACACAAAGTTACATGGTTGAAATACGTTAAGTGCATTAGTTTATTGCAGTAGCTTTTTTATGTATCTGAATGTTGTTTGAAAATCCTATCTTCTCTTTTGATATTTTAACAGTACCGGGTGTCTCAGAATTTGCTGCATCCTTCAAAAATGTGAGTAAAAAAATTGAATTATAATAGATAATTTTCAAACATAAGATATGAATTTAAGACTTTTGTTTGTTTTTCCAGCCTATCACAAATTCTCCGCCCAAATGGATGGCTGAACTGGAGTCAGAAGATATTGAAATGTTGAAAGGTCTGCTGCCTTGTCCATGAATTAAAACAAATTAACATTGAGCCCCTTGATGCATCAGTTAGCATTTTATTGTTATGGTCCCATGTGACCGATGCTTCAGTTAAAGAGCTTAATAATAGTTAGATGAATTGTAATGTGAATTTAAAAAAAACTGTTAATTTTTATTAACTTATTTGTTCTGGCATTGGCAGCCTAGATGTGATTGGTCTTCTTGTTCTGTTTTAGAATTAGGAAGTTTGACCACAGCAAATCTGATGGAGAAGGTGAAGGGACTGCAGAATCTGGCTTATCAGTTGGGCTTGGAGGAGTGTAAGTAATCTTACCTCTGGTTTCACAGACAAGGTCCCAGACCAAAATGTATGTTTGAGCTGTTTTAATGGAAAGCAACTTGTACTGATATATCTTAAAATATTTCACTGCCATTGTTTTTTCTGAAGATGCACACCAGTAAAGTTTTATTCTAAGGCACGTTTATAAAAGCTACTTAAATGCCCTTGTTGAAATGAAGTCTAACCCTGGCCTTAGTTTAAACAGTCACCGCACAGTGCACCGTTTATGTGACTTTATAAAGCATCCACTAGATGGCGTTATTACCAAAGAGGGGGGAAATCATTCACAAATGCAAAAGCATGTCACATATTAAAACATTTTACAAATCTACACTTTAACAACAAATTATTGGTCAGAAAATTATCAGAATGCAATCAAATTCAACTACTTAAAAATCCATTGCTGCCTCAGAATTTTTTTTCTGGCAGAAAATAGGAAGATTCTGTTTTTTGATTCTGAATGGTTCAGCAGAGTTGAATGAAAATTAAATGAGCAATGAAACTTGAGTTGCATGGTGATGCCCCAGAGCGATGTCTTTGAAAATCTGGTCAGAAATATCAATGCATCTCTACCACAGTAGAGCATGGAGGAAGAACTGTCATTGTGTGGGGAGATGTTTTAGCTGCTGGTAATGCTGAGCTACTTCACTGTGAAAAATCATTTAATGTTTTCGAGTACAGGAGAGTGTTGCAAAATGCTTTTCTTCCCACGATTGAAACGTTGTTACCTAAAGAGAAATAATCAGATGTTATTTTTTCAACAAGACAATGTCTCTGCCCAAATTGCAAAGACTACCAAGAAGTGGCTTGAGAACAAGTCCATCAGGCTCATGTTTTAGCCTGGCCAGATTCCAGATTTGAACCCTAAAGTGACAGCTCTATGCTATTGAGCGAAATAATAGTTAGAAAATAGTCCGCTGCTTGAACTCCACAAGTTTTTTGGAACATTAAATTATCATGTTTCAAAGGGCGTCTTGTTATTCACTGGAAGATAGAATATCTGACTGTTGGTACAAAGGCATTCAATCTGAAATATTTCATATTCATTTTTACCCATTCTTAAGTTGAAGCAGTTCAAGAAATGAATACTTTCTGTCAGCTAGGATGCATTGCATTGATCTAGACGAGTGACAGTAAAATCATTTACAATTTTACAAAATATTTCCATTTCAAATAGAACTTACTATTCATCAAAGAATTCTGAAATTTACTACAGTTTCCACAAAAAGCACATTACTGAAATGTTTCTTGAGCTGCAAATCAGCACATTAGAAGGATCATGTGACATTAAAGACTGGAGTAATGACTTCTGAAAATAGAACAAATTACATTAAAAAAACAACAATTTAAATTATTTAATATTCATAGTATTTCACAATATTACTGTTTTTACTGTATTTATTATACATAAGATCATAAGAGCCTTATTTCAAAAACAAATTTTAACAACCCCAAACAGTACTGTACATTTATAATTGTTTCCTTGTATTACGATTTTCAAAATCTTTTTTTTTTTTTTTTTTTTTCGAGGTGGAAGAAAAGAAATAATTAGATGAAGAAAAAAAAAATCTAATTCCCAAATTATGTTATCAGGCGTTTGGACCCTTCTGTACACATATGTGTAACAACATGAATATAAGAGAACTAATCTGTAATCCGCTCTGTGCTTATATCAATTCATTATATTGTTCCGCATCAATTCAATATACTCTATAGTTCAAACCATAAAGATATTGTAAATAAGCGTACTCGTATGTAATGCCTCCTACTCTGAGGAGACAGATATGAAATTATGATTATCATTCGGCGCAGAGCAGCATTTAACGCAGCGCCCTTTAATGCGGTGTGGTTTAATTTTCTTCCTTCTCCTAGCTGTCAGGGGAAGCCTTGTAAATCTGAGCTACTTTTTCATCATGTTTCTTTCTCTCTTCTGCGCCTTTAAACGAGCTGACGAGAGGTTGTGTTAGGAGACGGGAGGGTTTGGAGGAGGAGGAAGATTTACTGCACCTTTGGCTTGATGGCCATTAAAGTCGTGATCTAGTTAATGGGGATAATGCAATCAGGCAGTGAAAGCTCACCCCAAAGGCAAGGTTATCAGCCACACATTTGTTTTATATATTTATTTATTTATTTTTTTCAGCTCGGGCACGTGCAGATGCCGAGCCTTTTAGATGCATTAGCCGCATATGTTTGGGGTGGAAAAATATGAATAACGGCAGCATATATTAAGCTTTGGTTAATCACGAAGCTTAAAACGTATAAATAAGTGTATACTAAGTATTTTAATAGCTTGGTGTTGAGTGGATCAGCCCATTTTCTCATCTGTAACTGCTACATGAGTGGTGTGTAAACCTATTGGGGGTGCGACCATAGGCTGATAAGAATATCATTTGCATGTGTATTTATTTGTGTGTGTGAGCGTGACATGTGTCACACCAGTCTCCTTGGGGACGTACCCCTCCTCTCCTAGCTGAGTGACGCTGATCAGGGTCATTGTGGGAGGACCTGACGTGTGCCTACCCCTCCAGCCCCCCACCAGTACCCATCTGCTCCAGGCCGTGATGAATGCTGCTGTCGGGGGGCTGCTGAGCATGGTCATCAGGCCTATCCGCTCCCACAGGACCAGTCACTACACTGATAAGTACTGTTATTGAAGGTAATTGAATGGAGAGTGCCCCTCTGGGACAGCCAGGCCTCAGGCGATGCTGATGATATCTCTGATTCCACTGCGGCGGCTTGCACAGATGATGTAACACACTTGTTTCTACTTGAGTAATTGTGGGGTTGTTGTTTTTTTTAATGGGGTGGTAAATGATTTGGAAATATTTTGTTGGTATAACAAGATTACAGCTGCATTTCTGTGTGTTTTGAACCAAAATAAGCAGCAGGAAAGTAAGGAATGCATAAAATTGGTTAATAATGCTCACTAAGGGGTTTTCAAAACTCCCTAACCCGAGGATTAAACATTAATAATACCTCAGATCGTGCAGCTTGTTGAGGAGAGGTGGGTTATTACTTTTATAAGTGATCTGATTTAGGACTCTGGCAACCATTCTAGTATCATGGCGGCATGTTTTGTACAGTCAAGTGGCAGACATATTTTCTCCAGAAAATGTAGTAATTAGTTAGTTTAATATTTCCCCAGACAGATATCATGATTTATTACAGATGCTACGGTAGGAGCATAATGGCTCAATGACAAAGAAGAGTGTCTACAATAAAGAAAAGACCATTTTCAAAAATCAAGTTTAAAGACACGTGCCAAGCTTATAAAAATGTATTGTTTGAATTCATGTTAGTTTCATAGGAGATTTTATGTGGTGTAACAATCAAGTAAAATTCCATTTTTGTAAAAATATATATTACCACCTTGAATACATGTAACAGTGTTTTAAATATCTCTCCATCCATTACAAACATACAGTAGTTGTCAAATGTGAAATCCAGAGGGGATATTTGTTTTTGATGACCTACAAATTATATATATATATTTATTTATTTATTTTTAAACATTTTAAATATGAGGGGGGAAAAACTAAAACAACTAAAAACTAAACACTAATCTTGGTTAAGATATTATCTGACAAAATTATTTTGAAAAAACAAAAGCAAACTACAGTAAACAGGAAAGCTCATAGGAAAAAGCATATTTGCATATTCAATTTGGCATATTTCATTGCGTTCTCAAATAAAGCAATTGTTTAAATTAATAATATTTTAACAAATGGCAGAAATGTCAATTTTCCTGTAGGCTGGGTATATCTTTTGACAAGTGTGTGTGTGTATAAAAACAAATATCATGAAATATTAATTACAAATGTTTTTGAGTCACCACACCACATGACATTTTACATCCTGATCTATCCTTGCCTTGTAACAAACAGGTCAAATTATCTGATATTTTAGAGACTTATTGACCTTGACATGCACTTATGCGTCAACAAGCTCTGATATCATTTCCTTTTTTTTCCCTGTATGTTGCTTGCAACACATTATGATTTGGTGGACAAAACTTTTTAAAATATTAATTCGCAGTAAATACATTTTGAATTATTTTTCATTTCAATTTCGTTTTTAATGAGGCAATTTCCTTCATTAATATCAAGATAGAATGACATTTTGACCTCTTTACCTCCCAAAAAAATTAATTCTAATACAGAAATTTAAAATACGCTCAGAAGAGGTATGTTCAAGTGAATTGTGTGCATGAATACATTTTTGATGTCTTTTTGAACAAATTAATCGATCCTTACTCAAAAACTGGTTGTGATGTTGTTTGACCCATATGTGGTGCTCCATATTGCTCCAGATGCATATGATAAATATTAAAGATTCAGTAAGGAACAAAACTCTGGCTTGCAACATTCAAGATCCTCCTGCTGTTCAATCTGTTCTTGCACCCAGTATGAAGGTCAGACCCGTCCAGTGCTAATGGCCCCAATGTTCACTGCCTCCTCCCCTAGATCAATCTCTTCTCTATTAAGCGGAGTGTGTCGCTGAATATGATTGCAGTGATGCTACCCTACCCTAGTAATGTGCTTCCATCAATCCATCAGAGACACTCGACCGCAGGGGCAAGCAGTTATGAAGTGCTGCTAGATGACAGGCTGAGCTGGGGGAAAGCTCTCCTCGACTTTACTCTCCTCTGTCTTCCTGTCCTCTCATCTTCCCCTCCCCTCAGTCCTTCCTGGATCTTTATGGCTGATATAGTGGCAGAATAAAGCAGGGAATGTTTGCGGTGTCGTTCAAAATATAATCCTTAACTTCACACTGCAAAAGTTTAAGTAAAAAAGTGTTTTTGAAAAAAATATATATATTTGCTTGAGAAGCAACATGCAAGAACATATGGGCTAAGAAAAATTCACTTTTTCTTTTTTCTATTTTTCTTACACCATTGGCAGATTTTTTTTCTTGTTTTAAGTATAAACTCACTTATTTCAGAAAACACTTAATACCTTAAATAAAGGGTGAGTTCACACAAAAATGAAAATTCTGTAACCATTTACTCTCATGTCGTTCCAAACCCGTAACACTTTCGTTCATCTTGAAAACACAAATTACGATATTTCAATAAAGCCAGAGAGATTTATGTCCCTCCATTGACAGTCCACGCAACTACTACTTTGATGCGTTAAAAAGTTCATCACAAAATCGGAAAACTAATCCATTTGAATTGAGCAGATTTTTGGACATGATTGCTTTATATGATGAACAGATTGAACATATAAACATTCATCAGCTCACACACCAGGGGGAAAGCTCAAGGAAGCTCAAGCATGTTCGCTTGACGTGCAAGAACCAATGAGGTTCATTTTCACGTGTTACACGTGTTAAGTTCGTTGATTTTTATATGTGAATAACTTAAAGGGATAGTTCACTTTAAAATTTATTTTTGATATGTTTTAGCTTACCTCAAGGGCATCCAAGATGTAGGTGTCTTTGTTTCCGCTGTAGTTTCAATGTTGATATATTTAGGTAAAACCGTTTGTGTCTATCAGTCATATAATGGAGGTCTATGGGGTCCACCTCAAAGAGCATGCACAGAGAAGTCCAAATTAAACATGATTCATGGATTCGTGAATGTAAGTACACATCGATGGCCTAAGACACGAAACGAGCAGTTTGTGTGAGAAAACTAACAGTATTTATATCGTTTTTACCTCTTGTAACCACAGCCATGTCCAAGTGATCTGAGGGCGCAAGCGCTTTGTGGCTGTGGTTACAAGAGGTAAAAACTATATAAATACTGTTCGTTTTCTCACACAAACCGCTCGTTTCGTATCTTTGTCCATCAATGCGTATTTACATTTACGAGTCATTAAATCATGTTGAATTTGGACTTCTCTGTGCATGCTCTTTGAGGTGGACCCCATAGACCTCCATTATATGACTGGCGGACACGAATGGTTTGACCTAAAATTATCAAAATTGAAACTACTGCTGAAACAAAGACACCTATACATCTTGGATGCCCTTGAGGTAAGCTAAAACATATCAAAAATTAATTTCAAAGTGAACTATCCCTTTAAATTCAATCTGTTCATCATATAAAGCAACCAAGTCTCTACAAAAATGTGGACTAAACCATTTGATTCATATGGATTAGGTTAACGACTCTCTGACATTTTTGAAGCGGCAAAGCCAATGGAGGGATAAAAATCTCTCAGATTTCCTTAAAAATATCTTCATTTATGTTTAGAACGTGAATGTCAGTATTAGGGATTTAAAACAACATGAGGGTGAGTAATTGATGACCATTTAAATTTTTGGGGTGAAGTAATGCTTCAAGTAATGTTGCTTCTCAAGTAAATTTAAATGTTTAAGAGTAAGAAAATTTTTTTTTGCAGTGCATTAATTAATTCACTTTGACCCTGACATGCAATGACATCATTCAGACTCTTCGACTGCACAGATACACCCGAACGTGGCTTAGAATTTAGACCAGCAAAGAGGGAAAGTGGAGGGAATTCATCTATATCGCTCTCTCTTCTCTGTCCTAGCCACCACCTCTGTCAACAGATCGGAAATGACACCTTATTTCCATAAATACATTAGGAATTCATTGGATTTTCTTTCCCAGCTAATCATAGCGCCTGTGTGAAACCTTTTAGGGTTTTTAATGAATGAATTTTGACTGATTGCCTATTAATAAGGACACCTCTTGAACAGGGATAGGCTGTGGCAGGGCTGGCACTGTGCGTGCGTGTGTGTGTGTAATGATTCGTGGTGTCAAGCGGCTGGAGGGAGGGGTGAGAAGAGGAGAGCTCTCGGCTGGGACATTAAGAGGAAGCAGTGCCTCCCTTGGGAAATCACTCACCATGTCTGCATCTTAAATATCTCTGTGAAGTATCAATAAGTAGGTAATTGAATTTTGAACACAAACATGAGCATCAGGTGTATGTGTTCCAACGCGGGACGAGAGGGTGGGTCTGTGTGCGGGCGCGTGTCTGTCCTCCCCCGTCCCATGAGGCTCAGGCAGCGAGAATAGATGTTAAATCTATTAAATAAAGATTACTCCCCTTAATAGCCAAGTGGCGGTTTCAGATGTGCAACAGGGGCACGATTAGTGTGTTTGACTTCTAATGAAAGTGAATTGGGGCAGTCAGGTTTTGGAGAAAATTCAGTTTAAGGTCCAGGAATTCATTTTCTCCTCCAGTCTTGTCTCCAGATGTGCTTTATTGGCCTCTAAAAGATTCCCAAGGAAAAACAGCATCCATGACTGTTTAACTGGATTCATTTTGAAAGAAAAGTTTTATGGTAAAATATAATGTTTCATTCAACATTTCATTTAATGCGTCGTATGCAGACCAATGCATATATTATTTTATATATATAAATGCAATAATCAATTGTAATATATATATATATATATATATATATATATATATATATTAATAGTTTCAATATAATGCCAATATGTATAATTTAATATTTGCAGATATCTATATATTTATCATAATATATTTTAAAATAACCAAACATCACATAACCGTTTGTATCACTTTGATTTTGCTCATATATTGGCTTATTTGTATTACCATTATTTTGCCTATTAACTAATCACGAAGCATATTTGCTTCATTCAAATATGAAAAAGTGTACATATACCATCAAGAAGATAATATGGCCTTTGGAATCTATAATATGCCATTTAGTATGGATGTCACCGGCAACAGGCTGCTGATTAACTAAGTACAGAATTAGTAATTGACCTTTCTAATCAACTAAACAAATCTCTAACTCCTGCTAATCAGTATTGATCTGCCCCGTCCAGTGACAGGACCATCTTTGTGTGTGTGAAAATGCACATACTTGTCTCTGTGTGTGTGTGTGTTTGAGCAAGGCGTGCTGGCAGGACCCTCTACACTCCCCTTTTTAATCTAACTCACTCAATGCAAATCATTTCTCTTCTGCTCTGACGGGAATTGAGGATAAATGGAAATCTAATTAATGAGTGGATCAGAGGGGTGCACTCTGGTGAAGGGGTCTCATGGGAGAATGCTTGGCCAGACAGACTCCTGTATTGTTTTGGACTGAACATGTGAGGGAGATTGGGAGAGGGGTAGTAAGAGTTAGAGTAGGGTTGTTAGTTCAGCTATGACAAAGCTCTTTCCCCCTGTTTGTGGACCCCTCCAGAAAGCAACGGCCCATTTAACAAAACGTTTGATGCCCTATCATTGACATTAAACCTGGGATTAAGACACACTTTACTTATGGAAAGTACTTGAGGCACTAATCTCTCACATTGACACTGTAGTGGGATTTTTAATGATTGTAATATCTTATGCTCATCATTACGTTTTTCACAAAAAAATCCATTGTTTTAATATACTGAAGATTAAGTTGACTTTCAGGCTTTACTCATAGCTCTCTCATGGATCTTATGGGAGTCAAATGTTTACTGTTTGAACCAGGAAAATAGAAACAATCAAACTGCTCTTTATTCCTGCGATTTTTAACTTTTAAAATACAATGCACTTTTAATGTGAGAAAAACTTGTTTTGTTTGTCTAGTTAGTTCATTCAACTCTTGGAAACTCTTGGTTATGACACACACCATGTTATATTCAAAGTGTGTGTGAGTGTGATGAATATAAAGTTAATTAAAATAATATTAAAATAAATGTGTAATATTCAAAAATAACTTTTAAGTACATTAGTATATGTAAAATATATTTTCCATTGTGGGGGTAGTAAATTGTTTGTTTTTTTTAAGAAGAAATGGATAACAAAATGCCGTCCTTTGAACTTTCCATTCATCAAAGAATCCTGAAAAAAAGTATCACGTTTATAACATTGATAATAATAATGATATAATATATGTTTCTTAAGTGCCAAATCAGCATATTATAGTGATTTCTGAAGGATCATGTGACACTGAAAACTGGACTAATGATGCTGAAAATACAGCTTTCCTTTACAGGAATAAAAATTATTATTTATTTATTTATTTATTTTTTGTCAAATAAGACTAATAAAAAAACAATTCTTTTAAAGACATTAACAAATCTTGCCGAGCAAATCTTTTTTTTTTTTTGTAAAACTATTGTTACGTTTTATCACCTTATTTCATCTCCATTGTTTGTGGGATTTTATTTTATTTTTTTTTTTTAATAAAATTTTTGATGAGCTGGTATGAAGTTCTAAATCTAAATCCAGGTTGCATCATGTTTAATCCATTGATGGAAAGCTAAAGGTGAATCCACTGACACTTGCTCCTGTCATTAACACACCACACAGGGCAGCTCATCTAAATTACAATTCCATCACATTATTTCATTAGCTGCCGTCCAACACCGCCACTTACCCTGTCCCTCACTCCAATCATTTTCCTGCCTGAAAAACACAACCAACAGCTCATCAGTGCCCGTGTCAACCTGACCACAGGAGGGGTCATGGCTGTTACACCTCCATTTCTAAAAGATAAGGAGAGTGTGCTGTAGATTATGTTGATGGAGCTTTGAGATTGAAGAAGAAATAATGGGTCCATTAGAAACACTTTATTTTAGTACATTATATTTTATATCTTCCATAATTACTCAGGATCTAGCTTTCTCTGATTAAAATATACCATGTTAAGTTACTTAACGTGCATCTGATAAGGTTTGGAGACTAAGTCAAGTCACATTTATTTCTATAGCACTTTTTACAATACAGATTGTTTCAAAGCAGCTTTACAGAGATAACAGGAAGATAGTGCAAAAAAGTTGGTTTACAGAAGAAAAAATGTTCAGTGATGTTTCATTTTTGTTTAAAAAAAAGTTATTGATTTAGTTGAAGATCGGAGTCACGCCAGTATGGTGTTGATGGATGTTGTGTCGATGAGGCATTCACAATCTCTGCTGCACTTCAGGGATGCGTTGTGCTCGTGTCTATAACAGTGCAATAACCTGTTGACTTTATTGTCTTTTCCAGCCCGAGAAATGACGAGAGGGAAATTCCTGAACATCTTGGAGAGACCCAAAAAGTGAAGACCCAGATGGTGACCGCTGACCTGTCGGGACAGCTACCACCTGATTGTGATCTTGTGAGGCAGAAAACAGTAGCATGACACGTTAGCTTTTAAATGCTTTCTATACGATTTGACTGATATGGGGTCAAAACATCACAACAGCAATGCATCAATATATTTTGTATATATGTTCTCTTTAAATGACAGGTGCTGAGTAGAAAGGGTAGGATAGTGGTGTGCTATTCAATAAATGTTCATAAATGTATTTATTTTTCACTCTGCCGTGTTTAATACAGTGTAATACAACTTTAATCGTTTTATTAAAAATTCACTTTTGTTTAAATGAAGTACAGTTGGTTGTGTTCGCCTACATGCCCTGTCGGAAAAAATGCTGATCTTCCTATTTTATTTCATTTTTTAGTACATTTTTAACACTTTTGCTTTTTCCATCTGCTAGTGAGGCTTTGCTTCCCATTGGCCAACCAATGACGTTTTCTTGAAAGTAGCTTCCATGAAACAATGAGGGAGTTCACAAAGTAGTGGTCAAACTTTTAATTAGGGCAATAACTTCATGCCTGTGCCACTCCAGCGACTGCTCCATTAACGTCCCTCTTTAGCTTTGGACATGTAAAAGGCTTTGACATGAGAGTGCTTCCATGCCAGTGCAAGGCCATTTTATCTATTTAATGGGAATTGGAAGTTTTGAAGGCCCCCAGTACAAAACATTGCGTAAAAATAATATTGCTCATTGTCATCCCTGTTAACAAGAGTTGACATAATTACTAGGGCCATTTCTTCTCTAATTAGCACACTTCCAGGGACATTGGCGCGAACAGTCTGGGAGAAAAGGGAATCAGACAGGCATGCTGAACTGCAAACAAAGAACGCTCTGGCGAGCGTAATTAGGTGAGACAGTGGCCAGGACTGTTCTCGGCTGGAGATGTCGTAGAGGCTGCGGTTGGCGAGTGTTCGCTCCTGCTCCCACCAATTCTTTGGTGTGCGCCTCTCCCCCAGTGTCTAATAAGCCCCTAATTGTCTTTCTGATTCACATAGAACAAGGGAGCTGCTGGTTTAAACCATTCAAAACTGGTGTCTGATGCCGCTCTGGAGGCCCCACATTTGCCCCTTATTTTTTTAACTGTCAAGCTTTAAAACAAGTTTAAAGAGAAGTGAGTTGCAAATTCTCTGGAAAACAAACTTGACCTCTGGCAAATAGTCTCACATACGTATATTTATCTCTGTACTGTTGTTGATCTTTTATTAAAGGCCCCAAAATACTTCAAGCGAAACCAAAGAACAAACTGCTGTGACGTCATTTCAAACAAAATAAGGCTGTTCAAGTTCGTTTGAAGTTTGTTTCGCGAGTTCAAAGCTGCTTGCAAACTTTCCGGAAAAGTTCGCTCTGGCTGGTAAACACCTTCAAGCTATCATTTGAATTACTGTGCTGATTATGTGATGGGTAGTTGTGCTTTTTTGATGGTGAAAACTTCTCTGGTAAATTTCTGTTCAGTCTGTCGATGTGAACACACTGGAGAGCTGCTTTATAGTATGAATTTAATTTGTAATTCTAATTGAAAGCAATACTAGCTATGTTTCCTTTCCAAGGTTGCTAATTTAACTTTGCGCAAAATTGTAAAATCGCACAAAACATATTCCTTTCCATGTGTTCAAGAGAACAAAATCGTTGTTTTTCCTCCATTGTAAATGATTTGCGCAGATTCAACGCGGTCAAGTTATCTTCGTATGACCTCACTCGTATGAATTTATACGATTTGTCTAAACCCTAGTGATGAGTAGGTTTAGGGGCAGGGTCAGGGGTAGGTTATTCGTATGAATTCATACGAATTGTACGATTTAGCAAAAATCGTACGAGTGTGGTCCTATGAATTTGTACGAATTAGCCACCTCGTAAAATACGTACGAATTGTCATTAGAACGGGATGGGCGATTCTGGGAGGGATTAAACCAAATCATTCTGATGACAGACTTGGGCTCATGCATTTCTGAATGACCAAACCAACATTTGAGATGCTGGCTAGTACAGTTATCCAATCACATCCACTGTGTTGAGGCAGTCACAAAAGTGTTTTGTTCCACATTGAGTGATTTATTAATTTTTTTGGTATGTGTGTTTCCATCGCAGTAAAAATAAATGAATGGAAACATAGCTACTTGCTTTAAAACAATCTATTGTATAATGTGTTAAATAAACATAAAATTACTTAAAATGCGGTATTCCCAAGCTAAGGCAAACATATCCACATCACTATATATGATCAGATGCTTTCTTAACTGCTTTTTTTCTGCTGTTTTTATTTTGTTATTGAGAGGAAAGTACGCTGCACATATTTACATGTTCATCTAAATCCCCCTGTATTGGGCATTGGGATGTTGGCTAACAGTATTCTGCTTTTCAGGTATTTCAAACTTTTTTTACCCCTAAGTGAAGGAGGAAAAAGCCATTATCCTTGCCATGATTATATTGGGACTTTAAAGGGGATGCAAAATTCACTTTTATATGGTGTTTGCAAATAAATGTGTCTTTGCAGTGTGTGGACACAACCACCATACAATGAAAAAAATCAATTCACTTCTTTTTTTTAATCCTCAAAAAGCCTAAACACTATAATCAATAATCAAGCCATTTGGATTTTCTGAGCAATATGATGTCATATTGTCCTGTATTTGTATATTTACATCCTCAGCCATTTGTATACTATCTGCCAAGGCAGCACTTTAAGTGTTGACACGCCCACGAAAGAGAGGGGTGGGGTGAGCAGTTGCTCATTATCATTTAAAGAGACAGGCACCAAATTGGGTCCCTGTGAACAGAGCTGTTTTTGAGGAGCTAAAAAGGTGTTATTTTACACAACCACTGAGCAATTTTAACCAAAGTATGTTACAAACTTTACATTAAGACCCTAAAGAATCATACCAACTTGTGGAAAATAGGCATCCGATGACCCCTTTAAAGTCAGCATGAAACAGAAGTCTTATATACAAGTGAAATGGCTTCTCAAACAAGAAAAAATGTAGGGCTAGACTTGACTTTGTCCAAAAGGACTTGGTTTAATCATTGTGGTTTGGTTGTCCCACCCTCACACCGAAAACCGCATCATGAGAGAAGATAAGAGATGCCATTGCAAGGAGAGGGGAAGTTATTTTGATTAAAGATTATGAGAGCACATTCATTTTTTTAAAGAAAGATGGGCACAATAAATCCTTTATAAAAAATTATAAATACTGCTCAACACTTGTTCATTTTCATTTCATGTTGACTTTAAGTATATATATAGTCATACACTTTATGAAGTTTGACAGAACTTTGCACTTGTTGGGTTCTGTACTCTTGCGTCCGTTACACTCTGTTGCTCTCATACATTGTGACAGTAGTGATGTACAATGACTGTTGTGAATAGACCAGTTAGTAAACTGACATCACGGAAGCTGCGGTTCACATAATGGCACCCGCCAGTAGTCTCTGCCTGTCAAATAGGTCCTGTCCAGACATCCTCCTTAAGATGAGGGTCATTCCCCACAGAGGGGCTGTCTCCAGAACGGGGGAAAGAAAGGATAAACACCAGAGCAGCCATAAACAACCCGTTGCCCTGACCTCGACGGGCCTTGCTGCCCTAACAAACGTCAATCCGATGTGCCCTCAGGCCTTTAATTAGCTGTCAATTAGTGCAAATTAATCAACTCCTCGCCTAATTAAGCAATGTCGGCAGGCAGCTTCCAAACACGCTATTGTGGGAGCTGTATGAGAAAACTGGAGCTAGCAAACTCACTCTGCATCAGGGGGTCATCGCACCATTGGCGGTTTCGTGAGGGGAAAGAACTCTAGTTTCCATTTTTTTTCACCTACTCAGCACAAGGTGTTTACCATTATCAGACTGCTGTCGTCAGTATCCGCTCTGAGAATCCCTAGTCTCAGGAAATGGAGTACCAGTAACTCAACTTTAAAATGCCTCACAGGCCTTTCGGTTTAATTCAAGACAGGATTTTCAACTTTTTTTTATTATATTTTGCTTTTGTAAAGGAATATTCTGGGAAGATATAAAATATATGGATATATGGAAGATATAAAAGTGGAAATGTGAAGCTTATCATTATATGAAATCACCAATAATTCTTTAGGTTAAGATAGTACGTTATTTGAGTCGTTAAAGCTGCTGTCCGTAGCTTATTTTGGGTTAAAAATGATCCAAAATACATGTTTGAGAAAATACATAACCAGCCAGTGTTCAAAACTATCTGCTTGGCTTAGCTCGATTCAAAGCGGTAAGCTTGTAATAATGTTTTTAACTCCAGTGGTACTGGTGGATTTCCGCTGAAGTTGTCATTAGGGTTTATGGCATTGTCTTATGGCAACAAAGTTGTAAAATCACCTTTATTCAGCTGTTAATTTTACGTCAGAATGTAGGCTCACTATTGGCCAGTATCACACACATGACCAGCGTCGGCCAATAGCGAGCTTACGTTCTGGAGTACAACACAGAAGTGCTGCGCTGTTACACGTAACTCCCTCAGAGGCCCACACAGAAAAAAATGAATAGTTGAATAAAGTTGTAATTTTGGGGAGGTTTGCGCACAAAAAGTATTCTCGTCACTTGATAAACTTAAGGTTAAGCCCCACTTTGACTAGTTTCTGGGCTGACAAGTTTCAATTACAATAGAGGCCTATAGAGTTTCAAGTACAATAGAGCCTATCCTAATTTGTGTTCCAAAGATGAACGAGTCTTATAGGGTTGGAACATGAGGGCGAGTAATTACTTGGGTGAACATTTTTGGGTGAACTAACCCTTTAATGCAGAATAATGTGAACAATATCAGGGAGGTTTTGGGTGAAAGTAGTTCTTGAGTGGGTCTTTGGGGGGTGGTTGAGAGACACTCCTCTATGCCGCAAGACTGTGTGCTTGGTGTACAAAAACAAAATGCAACATTAAAAACAATTCATCACTTCCAATACATTGCAAATACAGAATTATGACCAGAAGAGCAGAAGTGATTCTTCATTTAAATTGCCTGGCATGAGAAGATCAAGCACCAGCAATCTGTGATAGGGGACGGACTAATGCAATACAATGTCCCTAATACAGCCCCATCCCAAAGCTCATTACCTTGCTTTGACCTTCCAGCAGATTCCAAGTTCTTCGTAAAGACAAATAGCCGTCAAGCATTTCAATATAAGAGAGGTCTTCATTTGTATGCATCACATTATACTATAATTGTTACAAGTTTGGACAAACTCTCATTTTAGCAGCTTTGAAAAAGTACACAAGGGTTGCGTCCCATTTTGCACAGAGGTCAAGGCAACGGTGTAATTTACCATCCATCTGTTTGACTAGCGCAATCGTTTTTCAGTATCTCAACCACTAGCTTTGTGTTTGTGTGGTGGAGATGACGGATTTCACTTAAAATAAGTAGGCAATAGGCATGAGCCCACAAGAGACTGAATATTCAGAGAGGGCGAGAGAGAGGGGGGGGGGGGGAAACAAATTTTGCAACAGCTGTTTGCCTTTTAATCTGCCACCATCAGATCTTCCAGTCTTTGATAGGCCACCAAATCTACACGAATGACTGAACTAAATCTTTCCTTAATCTACAGCCTTATTAGTTTGTCCTCTTATGCATGTAAATCAGGATGCAGCCATTTTCATATGTAGATGGATTATTAAAAGCCATGAAGGGAGAGGGTTTTTTTTTTTTCAGCTCACAATAAACAACAAAGCCCTGCACAGATTACAGCAGAAGCGGCGGCTACGAGAGGGCAGGAAGCAGTTTGTAATTGACAGGTTGCTTTGACAGAGCGCGAGTCTTGTGAATAGATGGGTTTATCTAGAGCGGGTGATGTGTCATTAGCATATCTTGATAACATTGATTTCTTCATTACCCTTAATGAAATTTCCACTTAATGGCTTCTAATTAGTTTCAACTGGTGCTCATGTAATTGCAGCTGTAATATTTTTGCTCAGCGTCGAGGAGTTTAATGCTTTGATGAGACGCGAAAACTCTTGCGTGAAGTTTCATTTTCTTGCACTTACTTGCGCGTTTGTTTTCTCAATGTGTCTAAATGTGCAGATCGCTCGTTTGCGGAGTTCCTATATGTGATTAAACTTTACTTTTGTGTGACTGCCAGTTTTGATGATCATCTCATGTAATTGCCATGGAGCCAGGCCAACAAAGAATTAGCATGGATGGGTAATTGAATAATGTCCCATCAGGCCACAAAATCGCATGGCTTTTCTGTATTTTTAAGCTTATAAACAGGATTACAGTTCACCTTTATTAGTCAAATTCAGGACATTGTTATTACCAGGCCACTTCGACATGATAAAACATCTCCAAGTGTTCGGTGTAGCTATTAATTAGCCAGAAAAGTAGTAACAGAGCTGTCTCTCGGGAGCGCGCGCTCGCGAAATCATTCCCTCGTGTGTGCGTGCGCCACGCGTCTGACGTTCTGCTGGTGTCGTATGAATCATGACGTTTATTTATGCATCGGTACATGGCACTTTGATAAGATTGGTGTTATCTCTGTCTCCATCAACGGCTCGCTGCTCATTTCCATAAATTATCTCCCAGTAATTATCTGTCCAGATGTCCAAATTGTGCCACAAATTATCTGCAAAACGAATCAAAATCCCACTGTAATTTAGTAATAGCTGATTAGACCTTGGTGTATTAAAGAAACATGGATGTAATTAGAATAAGCTATATTTTGCGGTCTGATGGGTATGCAACAGCTCTGAAAATGTATAGAATAATAAAGGATAATGGAAGATGTCCAAATTTACCTTGGTTTTCCCCACTAAATAAATACCCTTCAAAAAATTCATATAGGCCTATATAAAAAAAATTGTATTTATCTTATAAGCATATCATTGTGGAAATAATATTGGACACCCATTCCTGCCTTCCTCTACTTACAAGTGACCTAAATATCAATTTAATATTCTATAATTCAACCAGGTTAGGCAAGCTATATTCAGCTGATTTCTCCGAATTTTAGAATTTTACAGTTAGTGATGTGATTATGATCTTTTGTTATATTTTGTTAGGTGGTGCTTTGTGCTACTCGAAGATAAAGATGAAGAAATGCTAAAATGCACCTTTTATGAACATGTTTTCGAAGTCATTTTGCTATCATTTTTGTAAGGGTTTTAAATATGTAAAAAAACAAAACAAACAAACGCCTAATTACAAAGCTGAATTCATTTGGAAAAATTAGTAGGTTATCGTAATATTTTATTTATTTATTTATTTACTATTTCTTTTTTAAAATGCAATTTCCTCTCAAAATAGCCTACTGATATTTAAAAATAATGAAAAAATAAAATCTCTCAATCCCAAACATGCAGCCATATTGTTGTCATGTGATGAGTATTTGTGTTCAAAGATGTGATACTAATTTGTATGACCCATTTATCTTCTCCATTAATTATATCATTGAACGTGTATTTTATTAAACCTAAAAGGGATTTTAGATCTTTAGCGAATTACAGGAATTAGCTATACATTCCTCGCACGTTCTGAGCCTGAAATCTTTGTTGAACCCCTCAACACTTATTCCTTCAACCCTTCAATAACAATCATATTATAGTTTTATACGATGGATTATTAAAAAAAAAATTACAAGTTTTGCTTGTTTTTGTAATAGTAGATAATTTCATTCATTAGCCTATTCTAGGCTTTTTTTCTTGGCTTTTTTCCAGGCTTTGCTTTTTTGATTTGGTGTCAGGTGATTCTGCCTCAAACAATTATTGTAATGCTTCTGACCGGCCAATAGTCTGTCATTGCTGACGACATTAGTCTTATGTGTGCTATAGGTTGCACATTTCCGTTGTTCAGGTGTCCTTTTTATTTTCGACAATTGTAGCCTTTATTTTATCACCTAGATACACCTAAAATAGATTCATAAAGCCGTTAACAATATAGTAACACGTCAAAAATGTTGAAGAAAACAGAACATTTGTATAGAAGATTACATCCTATAGGCCTAGTATGTTATTATTAGTAGGCCTAAATTACGAGTGAATTTAATTCAAAATATAATTTCGAAGTGATCTAATTGTATTTGCAAATTTTGGTTAAATGTCTGATTAACACATAATTGCAAGCAACATGTGATGCGAATGAAATGATATGATGCATGACAAACAGGGAGAGCAGCATCCTGTATCCTCTGGAATTCTAAATCACTTACTCGCCGCTGATTGGCTGTTGAGTTTTGACCCTTGTTGGGATGGACCTGTTGGATAAAAGGAGAATTTCTAGAGGGATCATGCGTATTGCGCCGTGGATGCCTTTGCACAAGGGACCGACTCGTATGTGAAGAAGGGAATAGTCTCAGAGGCACCATGACAGGAAAGGATGGGGCTGTTTTGTCGGAAAGTTTGAACAAATCAAAATCAGTGTGTGCCGCTGAGAACAGGGGAACTAACAATCCACATCTGTCAAAAAGCAGCACCACACATCCGCCCAAATGCACGGGCTTCGGCATCCAGGAGATCCTGGGACTAAATAAAGAGCCGTCTTCGGCGGCTCCGCGGAGCACACTGGACTCGTTCCCTGCCGGGGCGCACCTTCTCGCCAGCAGGTCGATGCTCGGTCCGGCTGGGGTTGGTGTTGGGGTCGGGATGGGCTTAATTGGCCATGGAGGTATTCCGTCGTTCTACAGCCAGCCCGCGTTTCTCGAGGTGCTGTCAGACGCGCAGAACGTCCATCTACAGCCGCTCAACAGGACAGTGGGCCCGCTGGAAAATAACCAGTCTGCCAGCTCAGGTATAGGCCTGAAATTCACTTTCAACGCCCGCTCGGGTCCAATTTTCTTATTTTTTGTATAGCCCTGTCAAAGGGAAAGGGCCTTAATAATAATAACATCATTATCCTACTATTATTGGTTGTTAATATTATTAATTATTTTAAAAAAAATTCGAGATGGAAATGTGAAATAAAATGCCTGCTGTTACCTGTTTTATTTTACTATATTAGGCTATATGTTTTCCTCCAAATCCCAAGTTATTATCGGAAACGTCAAATAGCGTTGTTGTTTTTTTTAACTATGAGCAATAAATGTAAATGGCAATAAATGTCAAAATGTCACAGCCATTTTGAATAGTCTAATATTTCTTCCGATGTTACAGATTCAGAAGATGTCTCTTCAAGTGAAAGGAAAATATCAAAGTCTTCACTGAGCCAGAGCAAGAAGAGAAAAAAGAGACGACACAGGTAGGCTATTGAACGCTAAAAATGCACGTAGCCTAAATCAATCTTCTTGAATAATTACAGTAATCTTAAACGTAATTTAGGCTATGTGTTCTCCGAAATTAAATATCCTGAAACAGGAATGTGTAAAATTCTGTAAAACGTTTCTCTCGACGGCTATGCCCAGATTTCTGTCCCTTATTTAGGGGCATAGCATATGCTAATTATGTTGTTTTTTTATGTAACGAGTTATTTAACTGTAGGTTTTAAAACGCAGTAAAATAGCCTATCTATTTTTCTTTATAATTTTAATAATACATTCTCGTAATTTGCATTTTTATATGGTCATTTTGTAAGAAGCATTTAGATTATTTTTATAGGAAAGATCTGCTTCATTTACAGAAACAATAGGCCTACATTAATATCTATAATTATGATTTTCAGTAGCCTGGCCTATTTATATGTTCAAAAATCATATATTAATTAATAGGCTACACATCACATAGGCTGATTTCTTCTTTAGTTTAAAATCTAAAAGAAAAAAAAAACTCGTCATTGGTCCACTCGATTTGAGCCTATTGAAATGTAGGCTATGTGTGATGTTTCTAATATTGATTTTCTATGACAATTGAATGTTGTTCTTTTGTAGAACAATATTTACATCTTACCAGCTGGAAGAACTGGAGAAGGCTTTTAACGAGGCTCATTATCCGGATGTGTACGCCAGAGAAATGCTGGCTATGAAAACCGAGCTGCCCGAGGACAGAATACAGGTGAGGAACGAACACTGCTACTCACCGTTACAATTAAATGAGAATACAAGGAAACAACACGCAACGCTCTTTTATTTATTAGATAAAAGCCTACAGTTTATAATCATGTTTGCTGTATGCGGTGGCATGTGATCCTTTTTCTGTTATAAGCTATTTGACCTATAGTTATTTGTTATGTCTGTTGTCCAAAATATATTTCTTTTAATTAAGATTTTTTTGTCCCTCAAAATTCCGCGCAATTACGCCAGCTTCTTTCTTTCTTTCTTTCTTTCTTTCTTTCTTTCTTTCTTTCTTTCTTTCTTTCTTTCTTTCTTTCTTTCTTTCTTTCAAAATGCAAAATGCTTTGATCCATTTCCTATTTTCACATAAAAATTATATATCAAAATATTTGCAAAAGAAAACATTACACTTAAAATTAAGAAACTGAGAACAAAAAACATGAAATAAAATTAATTAAATAAAAAAAATCTTGGGCTAGATGGGGTAAATAGGCCTATAGGTCTCTATACTCTGAGCCTCTATATATATTTTACACACTATAAAAAAATAAGATAATAGACTAGAGGTTTCTCAGGTGTCTTCGGAGATGTCCTTTTTGAATATGTTTCAGATGCTGCTTTGTGGGCATATTCAAGGAATTTTGAAGTGCCTCAAAACCTTTCCTGGCATGACCCATTTTTGTTTGAGTTCGTGCAGTAACTTGTTGGTTCCTCAGAGACCGTCTAGCCTTTAGATTCTCTTGGAGGTTCTGCCAGTGTGGTGATCTGAGGAAACTGTGCCTGTATCTTTTCCGTTTACAGTGATGATTTTGCGTGTATTTAATCAGCTAATGGTTTGTGTAATGGTTATAGTTGGCAAACATTTTCTTGGGGTCAGCAACAGATGGTGATCTCAGTGGTGCGAACTGCGAATTATGGAGGTCTAGCCCACACACTCTTAAAAGTAAAAGTAAAAAAAAATTCTATAGCTATAGGCTAATGAACATTTAAAAATCTTAAGAACCTTTTTCCGACTATAGCCTAACCTTTTTTGGAATGAAGGTTCGATGGATGTTGAAGGTTCTTTATGGAACCATGAAGCATATGTTTCAGAATGGTTTTCAAAGGTTTCTGTAATTATTAAAGTCTGAGACTAGCAAAACAAAACAAGCTTGCGCTTTAGGCTATTGTGATTAGTTTGAGGTAAGCAATTAAATAATGGCAAATACTATTCTTCACTTTGTTATAAATGTATTATCCCAAATATCAGTCTTTTAAAATAGCCTGCAGATAGTGGCAAAAATTAAACTTTCGAAATAGCGAAATACCGCCTCAAAAATTAGGGTGAATTTGAGAGACTTTTTTTCAACTTTAATAGCTTACTAATTTGAATGTTTTATGCTGTAAAACCCCATCGAAATCCCTTTAAAATAGTCGCACACTGACTAGGCCTATCGATCAAGTCCAGCATCCCACAGATAATATCTCATCAGCCTCAGTTGGATGTGAAACAATTTGCTCTCAGAGAGAGAGAGAGAGAGAGAGAGAGAGAGAGAGAGAGAGAGAGAGAGAGAGAGAGAGAGAGAGAGAGAGAGAGAGAGAGAGAGAGAGAGAGAGAGAGAGAGAGAGAGAGAGAGAGAGAGAGAGAGAGAGAGAGAGAGAGAGAGAGAGAGAGAGAGAGCGCTAACGACCTAATCAAGCAATCAAGGCGGAAGAAGATTACTGTGTGACCTGAACCATCCATCTGCTGGCACGCCTTTTAATTTCCTTCTCATTACGGTGCCTCTCAGTGAATAAATAATAAGGAAATAAATAAATAATTCTATTTCAATCCAAAGTAAAATTAACATCTAATTTTCTCATCGAGTGTAATTAGTTAAATGAGAAAAGCCCGCCGTGTTCCAAGGGAAGGGATGTGGCGAGATGTGGGGAGTTCAAATGAAATAACTACATTGAATTTATTAGCACGGGTCAATGGCGCTGCTCTCTTGGGTCCTGCTCGTTTAATTTCCCGTGATATTTGCCCGCCTGTCCACCATCGATTGGGCTCGAAATTAACTTATTTTTCAATCAGCTTGTGCGCGCCCTTGGGGTCGTCTCTCATCGCTGTCTCCACCCGCTTTCTTTGAGTGCCCGATAACCAATTTCTCCTCAAAAAGTATCGTGCATGAAATGAGGGCTATCATCATCATCGGCATTACCAGAAAAGATTGGAAAATGGTTTTGATAATTCCTTATCCAATGTCTGGCCTCTCTAGACCCGGCAGCCTCCTCCTCCTCCTCCTCCCCGTCAGCTCTGCTAGCAGAATTAGTGAAGGGCAATTGCTGGTTAACTGCTGTGATCAACATGCGTTCGCGTCGCTTCATGACAGAACTGAACTGCAGGCACTTTACGCGTCGTTTCGTTTAGCCTATCTGAAAAAGCGGCAAAACTGTTTGCTCAATCATCTAACAGCCGACATGTGACTATAGTAAATGATAGATCAGGTCAGTAGTTTAACATAATAAAATTATGTTTTCCATTGCACACTTTGGAAAGAACAGATTTAAATAAAGGCTATTGTTCTAGGTCTGTGTTTCTATCCTTTCCAGGCTAATTAAAAGGGTTAGGCTATAGGGCCCTACTTCACCCAAAATGAAAATGATTGCATAATTTAGCTATAGGCCTACTCAACTTCATGTTGTCCCAAACCCCTATATCGTTGCTTCTCTGAAACACGCAGAAAAAACAGATTGACATCCTCACTCAACTTTCACTTTTTCCAATTGAATGTCTGGCGTTCCGCCTAATAAGATATAGGCTATAGCCTAGACTAGACTGTTTGGACGTCTTTCTTAAAATTTGCAAATCAAATTTAATCGTGAACAGGTGTGGTTCCAAAATCGGAGGGCCAAGTGGAGAAAGCGGGAGAAGTGTTGGGGCCGTAGCAGTGTGATGGCGGAGTACGGGCTCTACGGTGCGATGGTGCGTCACTCCATCCCGCTGCCTGAGTCCATTCTGAAGTCAGCTAAAGATGGCATCATGGACTCCTGTGCCCCCTGGCTTCTAGGTATATGCCACAGCAGATTAAGATTTATTTATTTATTTATTTATTTATTTATTTATTTATTTATTTTTAAATGTACCTTTATAATTCACCATCATCGTAACTAGTAATGATGATATCAGTTTAAAAAAATGAAAATGTTTTTATGTAGTCTCTTTTATAAATCTTTAGTCTTCTATAATTTAAAGCCTTGCTTGTACTCTTAATACTGTATTTCATTTGTCACCCAGCACTGCTGAATTTCAACATTATGCAGGCTATGAATAAAAATGACTGAGAGTAGATCTACATCGTATCTCTATGAAAATTTGCCTTACCAGGACATGCATTTTGGATTTTAACTTGCTAAAAATTAAGCAATTTGACTACATTTGCAACAATGTTCCCAGTCCATAATTTAAATGTTTTATTTTTTAGCAAATAAATTACCCAAGCAAATAGCTCAAGAAACATTTTAAATTGTATTTAACCATTTTAAAACAATAATTTGCTGTAGTTTAGAACAAAAACATATAGCCATATAATCAAATTGCTATACTTCATCATCATAATCATCAAACTTTATTACTGACTCAGGGTCCAAATATTAAAACTGACAATACATAAAATGAACAAAATACAACAGCAAACACACACACACACACAAATGGGAAAAAAATCAATGTGTTACAAAAAAAGTGTCTCCAAAACTGATAACGTGTTTTGCTGCCCCTTATATTTGATAAGCCCACAATAATTTAATTTTTGGAAGCATTAAGACGGCAAATAAATGTGTACATAAGATTTCGTAACACGGCTTGTTTACAACCACAAACCTTTCATTTGCACAATGCCATGTAGGCCTCTTTTCTAGAATTCCCATTGCACTTTAAGCAACTTAAAGTCGCTGGGAACTTGCTATATCATTTAAAAGGTAAAAAAATATAACTTAAAAACATTTTTTCTTTTGTCAAATCAACTTAGATAATTTATGTAGTTCAGATAACATAATATTTTGAGTTTCTAGTGATTAAATGAATCTCCTTCATTGCATTAACTTTAAATTTTAAGGCAACCAGGTTACTTTTTTTTTAAGTTAAACCAACAATATTTTTTTACAGTGTAGGATTTACTTAAATGACAAAATTATAATAACAACCTACAAAAGGAATATTATTGTAGTTTTTATTTAGCCATATCCTCCATTTATTTTTGATGCGATACGTGACTCTCATGGCTCAGATTAGTCTAATGCTGTTACTAAATCTAAAATCTCTCTTGCTATTTCCAGTTCAAGATGGTTTTCCTACCACCAGCTGCTTTTCTAAACACGAATGCCCACCATTCTTTGCAGGGATGCACAAGAAGTCCATGGAGACTGTTGCAGTCCAACCAAATGAGAAGTCAGATGTCACTCAGATGAAACCCACCAATCCCAAACCGGATGAGGCCGAGGCTGAGGAAAGGAGGACAGAGTCACCTATGTCCAAAGAGGAACTGAGGGAGAACAGTATTGCAGTTCTCAGAGCAAAAGCACAGGAGCACAGTGCCAAAGTGCTGGGAACAGTTTCCTCTGAGAGACTAGAGCACAAAATGGAGACGTCGGTGACGGAGGAGAAGACCAGCGAACGGCTAGACACGAAAGAAGAGGAAAAGAGTTCTTAGATTATGCACTGTAATTCATCTCTTTGTAATGCCATAAAGTAGGATTGGTGTGAAAATATCTGGGCTATTTTCTCTTCCTCATTTTTCCACGATAACACTGGATTCTTTTGATTCTCATTGAATACTGTGGGACCTTTTATCATCAAAAGTGCTGTTCGCAGAATAGCTCAATTGAATAAGACTAAATGTTTGGATATTTATGATCTAATTTCAGGTTAAATTAATATTGTCATTATCAGAAAATAATTGATCAAGACATGAGCTTTGAAATAACAACATTCAGTGCTTTTCTTTTTCATTTTGTACAGAACCGTGTCAAACTCTCAGTGGTTGTAATAGAGTGTATTGCTGTATATATTGTAAATTAAGATAGCCTGCTACAGTATTGTTTGAGCTATACATCAATGTACTGTAGTCTTATTATGTGCTTTTTTCATGACATGTAAAATGTAATTCAAATTATTAAAAAAGGATGAACAATGCGTTTTAAAAATCGTAATGAATTTTAACAAACTGAATTTATTTACATGCAGCATCAGTTTAAGTTACGCATAATGCCAATAATGCAGTATTAAAAGACAAATCTGCACTGAAATCATTTTCTTTTTTGCATTTTGCAATGTTTCACTCAATCAGGCCTGGAATAACAATGATTTATATGTAGCCTAAACAGTTCTGTGTCACTGAGTGTAATCCGTCACAGTTGAGAAGCCTCAATCTGGGCAGATTAAACAGCAGGACTGATGCATAACAGACATATGGGAGAGAGCATGAAAACAGCAGATAGCATCTCTCTCTCCCTCTATATCAGCGTGTATGTCTGTCTATCTATGTATCTATGTATCTATCTATCTATCTATCTATCTATCTATCTATCTATCTATCTATCTATCTATCTATCTATCTATCTATCTATCTATCTATCTATCTATCTATCTATCTATCTATCTATCTATCTATCTATCCATCTATCCATCCATCTATCCATCCATCCATCCATCCATCCATCCATCCATCCAAGAGGCTAGTTCTCCTGAATTACTGCAGTGAAATTTTAAATAAATAAGGCCAAGGATTACAGTCATTCTGATATTAGCCGTCTCGGGTGCCTTACAATTAAAAAATCCTCACATAACAGGATAGAGAAAAGCATGTTAATTATCTTACAACTGTACATGATTAAATATTAGCCATAAAAATGACCATGTTTAAACCTAATAAATAAAGATATATGGGTCTTCGTCTGGCTAATCCGTAAATTGTGAAATCAATCAGGATTTGTGCTGATTAGAAGAACGGTCCAAAATGATGTTGCAAACGCTCTCTATTTCATCTGGGTTGTTGATCCTTTCCATGCCCTTATTATCAAGGCCTGTCAACAGATTATTGATATGCACTGTAATTTAATTTACTTAGTGTCTGCGTAATTAATTAGTTGACATCTGGGGTGATAAGGCTAGGCTGTATGTATCTCTATCCGCTTTTCTGACATCTCTGTCACCCAGCTGATCCTGTGTCAGGCATATTAGCCTTTTGCATTTCTCTCTAGACGGTTTCATGAATGAAATGTTGTTCAAAACTATAATAAACTCTCTGTTTTATGCCGTGCTACGTAGTTTAATCACTAATTATTTTGATATTTTGGTCTTGATCTGTTTGTGATGATACCAGTTGCTTTGTTTATAGGACTTATTGGAGCTTTCTCAGGCTTCAGGCACTCTCACTAAGAGAATCACATAAAGTACTCATGCAGGCTAATCCCACAATGTCACTAATGGTCGCCAATGGTCACTGACTGAGGGAAGAGCTGGATTTATCTGTGATATGAAGATTATCTTAGTGGCAAATCCATGCTGTCTTTAGAGTGATTTCTTAATCAGATTGTGATGATCACCAAGCTGCTGCGTTGTTAAGTAAGGTAGGTAATTAAGATGTTTGAACATTTTCTGGAGTAAAATAAGGATGATATCCATGTACATTAGCCAAACATAAATTCTGATATCAGTCAAACTGAATTATTGATTTATTTCTGCCTGCTCACTTTAATCTTTGCTTTTTTTCTTCTTTTTCTTACTTTTACTTTAATGAATGAATGCAATTTTGTAGGTATAACAGGCATGATCATTAAGAATCCTATCATTAGATTATAATTATTTGAAAACTCTTTGAGAATTATTTTAATGAACTAATAGTATTTTGTTTAAATTGATCAAAATATTGCTGACATGCTCAACTTAACGCATGACAATATATGTCAAGCAGTATAGCAGAGCAGGGACATTCAATGATAGAGAGTAAAAAAAAAAGGTTGAGATAAAATTCTCTCTCCCACCTGAGAAAGGTGGAGTTTGTGTGTGTGTGTGCATAGTGTATTACTTTGTTTAATTCTGCGAAAAATATTTTTGGACTGCAAAAGTCTTTGTGACTGAATAACATTCGTATGTTATGCTAAATGTTGAAGGCATAGGCTAACACGTTTGTTCAGTGACAAACAACGAGACCATGAAATGCGGATTGAGATATGTAAAAGTGGTCCGTTCCTGCCCCCTGCTGGAGATTGGAGATGTAGGTTATTTACTCCACATTGGAAATACATTATTTTATTCACAAACCCACCAACATTAGTATACTGCTTTCTTAGTAATAAATCTAATTTCCGTAGGGATTGTGTGTATAGGCTATGTGTCCAAAATGGCTTTTTCGCTAATCTTTTTTCAACTGAATTTTAAGAAATACAATTTTCACACTCTCATAGTTTATCAATATTCTTACACACTATACACTAACAGTGTTTATACATGCATCACAGGAGAATTTTTTTCTTCTGAAAATCAAGAACATTTCCCACCATCCAACATATGCTAAGGTAAATAGCCCACACATTATTACGAAAATGTGAGATATTATGAGATATTCAGTAATTTCGATAACATTTCTCATTAAAACATGTTGGGTTCAAATAAAAATGATGATATAAATTGTGAAATGTGTAATACTGTAAATACGATTCATAGTAGGCCTAGCCTTTAGCCGTAATTATTAGCCGCTATTAATAGACTACAGCAGTTTTTGTGCGTGGAATAATATGAAATGTCAAAAGTGATCGGAATTAATCAGGAAAATGGACAATTTTTGACTACGGTGTATCCCAAAGCTGTTTTTCTCCGTTAATCAATATGAATATGTGAAAACAAGTGTGAACTATTATAATAAGGACTAAATATTTGTTACTTAAGAATGGTCTTCACATCTAAACAAGATTTTTTTAAATATTTTAAATATTGTCCGGTGTAAAGGCAGTAAGACAATTTGAAATTAATTTTATGATTAAAAAGAGAAAATAGAGAACGGCGCGCTAAAAGCGGAAATGACGTGATTTGTTATTACCCATCCTCCGTGCCATCGTCATCGGTGGCATGCCTGGCTACCGTTACGTTAGGAAGCTTCTCTGAATTATATTCGTATTTCAAATTTGAAATGTTTTTGACCAGGTTTTGAAACAATCTCGCAAATATTACTCACATTCTGAGTATTACTCGCCAGGAAGCAAACTGATTTTTTTTCGCGCTCTTGTGAGGATCCCTACGTCAGTTAGCAAGTTTTGCTCCTGTTAACAAAATGGCGGACAATGAAGACGAAAATAATTCTACGTCCAAATCTGCTGCAGCACAAATGGAAAACCTCGACGCAAGCCAACCTCTGCAGCAGCCCGAGACGACACAAGCCGAAGGGGAAAACAATCAAGAAGACGCAAGCAAAACGCCGTCCACCGCAGAAGGGGGCGTTGATCAAGGCCTCGTCGAGTTAATGCACGGCGAGTCGGAGGTGGATGTCAGAGTTGTGGATGGTAACGTTACTCAGGAGGTGATCGGGCAGATCGTGAGCGGGGAGGTGATAACCGACTCAAATATCATAACGTCTTTTGTTCAGGCCACCGCAGAGGCCGGTTTAACGGCAGAATGCACCACTGTAAGCGGCGACGTCTTAAACGCTCTTGCACCGACGACCACCATCATTTACGTGCAGCCCGACGGCAGCTTCGTGGAAAGCTCGGGCTTATCGGCCGAGGAGCAGCAGCAATTAATCGAGCAATTATCAAAACAACAATTAGTCCATGTTGCAGGGACTGAGACAGTTGTGAAACCCTCCACTGCCCCTATCGTGGACGTGCAGCAGGTTATAGTGAGTAAAGCACAGGTGATCGCACAGACCGAGCCAGCTACGACCCATACAACTACCCCGAAGATACTGCAGAGGTCTGTCACTGCGCAGCCGGCGTCCTACATTGCACTGGAAACCAGTAACTTGCAGTTGACGACAGCGATCCAGCCACAGCCCGTCAGTATCGTGCAGAACGCGTCGCAGCAGCTGCAGAGCGTCGCCAAACACGTCGCGCTGCAGCAGTCGCAGAATGGAGCCAACACGACCACACAGAAGGTACGACAGAGTCTTTCATTAGTCAGAGAGATTGTATGACAAGACGATTCAATTATTTACTGTGCAGAATGGGACTGAATGGTTTCTCAGAAAACCTTTTTAAGTAAGTAATTCCTTTCTCCTTTCTTTCCTTCCTTCCTTACATACTTCCTTTCTTCTGCACATAAAATAACTTTCCCTTTCCTACAAATATTTAGCTCTGTACTTCCCTTTTCTGCGTTTTCTACTTTCCCTTTCTCGCTTTCTGCACAGATTTCCTTCCATACGTCCTTTCAAACATTCTTCCCTTTGCACAAATGTACTTCCTTATTTTCTTGTGCACATACTTTTTTCTTACTCCTTGTACTTCCTCACACTTCCTTTTGTGCTTCCTTACTTCCACAAGTGTTTCTTGTTGTACGTGTAAGCACTTTTTCCTGTGCATAGTTCTTCTTTTCCTTCCATACTTCTTTTTCTCTATACATCTTTCCATACATGTATTGCATATAGAAATGATCAAGAACTTTAAACTGTTCGCATGAGACCTTATATTAGGCTAATTTATTAGTTTTCACTGTATAATATTTACAGTAACTATGGTATTTGGGCTGAAGTAAAGGTTACTAAGATGTAAAGTTTTTGTAACGTCAAAGCAAATCTTTCTTCTTGCAATAGTATGATGTTGTGTATGCATCCTTCTACCTTTTTCTGCATAAAACCAGTCAGATATTCTGAGCTGAATTAGTCCACAGATTGTATAAGCAAATTATTTAGCCTTTTATTTCTAACGTTAATGTTGTTTTTGTTGTTTCAGGCAGCCGAGCCCATCCAAATTCAAGTGCAGGCACCTCTGAAGCAAGACAATAAACAACGGCAGACAACTCCAATAACAATTTTACAGCCGCAGAATCTGTCAGCCAGTCAGCCGATGGTGAAGGTTTCAACCGTAGGAACATTAAGCAGCCCTCAGATCATCCACATCACCCCTGTGCCTGGACAGCAGCAATACTTCTTACAAAACCCAAACGATCCTCCTATTCAGCTTCTTCTTCAGAAACCGGCTCCTATAGTTAGCACCATTTCTGTCCCGGTTAGCAAGGTACACGTCCCTGCACCTACCACAGTCAAGAGTCCAGTTCCATCAGCCAAGCCAGTTGTTCCTACCCCTAAGATCCTTGTGCCCTCTCCGAAAGTTTTATCTCCTCCAGCCAAGATAACAACGCCTACCAAAGTTATTACCGTGGAAACAAAAACTTCAACTCCAGCTGTTGGAAAGGATACCCAGAAAGCTAAGAATCGGCAGAAGAAGCCTCAAAAAATCCAGACCCGCTCTGGTCGGGTGTCCAGACCACCTAAGCACAAGGTGAAGGACTACAAGTTTATTAAGAATGAGGACTTGGCAGAAAGCCACCAATCAGATTCAGATGACTACTCTGAGATAAGTGTGGAGGATGAGGATGGAGAAGAACGCGGGAAGAAGAGCTCAGATGTAACCCTCAATCTCCGTGACAAATCCTTTAAATGTGATACCTGTGATAAAGCGTACATTGGCGTCGCTGGTTTGAACAGACACTATAAGCTAAATCCCACCCATGACAAGAACCCGACACCACCTCAAGCAGAAGACCTCTCCACAACTAGAGACGAACAACCGTCAGGAACTGAAGTCACTGATTATAGTGAAAATGTGAAAACACTCAGTACTCAAAAAGTAAGATGATTTGTTTTGCTTTGTTTGATATTTGGTGTATTTATCTGATTAATCAAATCATCTCAATTTAACAATATTTCAGGTTCAAGAAATTGGCAAGGTAGAACCCAGGAGACCTGGGCGGCCCAGGGGACCAGTACGGCCAGGCCGTCCTAGGAGGCCTGGGCGACCACCTAAGAGAGGGCGACCAGGACGGCCACCCAAGTACCCTAGAGGAATGAGCTTAGAGCAGCAAGCACAAAGACAGAGGAATCGGCTGAAAGAAGTACGAGCTAGATTGCTATACATTTTTAGATATTCAAATCATATATGCATGCATTCTAGGTCAAGTGTGAAAGAGTGACTTTTCACCATCGTCTCTGTGGTTTGTACTTACATATTTGATGCGTTCCACCTATGAGGTAGTTACATCATGTAACTACTGAGTAAAATGCTAATGGTGTGGGCTGGCTAGGTGATACAAGGATAATGTTATAATGCAACAATATTAGCATACACACTAATGCACGATAATGTTTTTTTTTTATTAATAGTGCACTGGATTTATGCCATTTGATGCTTTAAATTCGTGAGCTCTTTAAAGCAGAATGGATTCTGATTGGCTGTTAATGTTTTTAGTGTTCATCAGCTGGAAAGCTTATAGTTGTGCTGTGGACTTCCCTATTCTCATAGAATTAGAATGATTTTTAAAAACTTTGTAGTTATTGTCCTTAGTTTGAACATTTTTTTTTTTACCACATGAATTCACATGGTCTATTTCACAAATGTGTGTTTTTGATAAATAATTTTGAAATGGTGCTGAACCTGAAAAGATTTCTTTTACATTAATTTATATTAGATTTTAACTCCTAGATTTTCAGTGTGAACGGATACTTATAAACCTTATTGAACGTCTAAATAGAACTGACAACTTTGACTGTTTGTGGACTGTAATTTTGATGTCAGAGTATTTTTCATCTTTCTTCAGTTCATTAAACAGTACGATGATGAAGATCTCATGGAGATTGTTCTTCCACGTCTGGCCAGAGTCATGACTGTATGGGAATTTGTGCTGATGAAGGTATGTTCAGATGTTCTGGAACATGGGATAGATTTTTTAATTTTGTCTTTCATTTCTCACTGTTGAATCAATATGTAAAAATACCATTTGATTACGTTGTTGGAAGCATTTCATACATGCTTAGTGTTCTTGTCCCTCTAGGTCGAAAAGGGTTACCCATCAAAGCAACAGTTCCCGAGCGTTTACCATGAATTTGAACAACTACACAGCCAAGTGAAGAAGATGGCCCTGGAATATTTGCACACTTCGCCAGCCTCTCGGCCAGCTATAGAGGTCAACAACATGGGAGTAAGTAATTGCTAGATATTTAATCATCTCAGCTTTGTTATCAAACTTGACTACATACCATATAAATTAATTTTCGTTACAGGTTTTACAATCTCTGGGCATAACCGATCCCAATGCACTGAAACTCCTGACTTCCTCTGAAGGACAACAAAGTCAAAAGACAAATCAGTCAGAGCCAAGAGCAAATCAGGCCACAAAGAGTCTGCGGAGTATTGAGGTACGTTCTGTGCACAAATTATTCCAGTGAAGACTCCTTTAAATAGGTTATAGTATACATTTCTCAGCTGAGTGTATTTTCATAATTAATGATTCTATTTATCAACTAGTCAATTTTTTTTGATGCCCTGATGCTTTTGTGAGGAACCCCCTTTGTAAAATATAAAGGCTCTTAATACATTTGTATAGTAACAATAAGGTTTTATTTGATAACATTAGTTGACTACTTAACATGAACTAACAATGAACAACACTTCAATCTCAGAATATACTAATACATTTTTTTTAAGATTAAAAGCTGTATCTGTTAACATTTATTTAATGCTTGTTAGAGGCCTGTTTGTTTGTCTACTCTCACCTAAGCTTACGCTACTCCCACATCCAACATCATGTGTCGGATCAGAGGTCACTCTTTGGCCTCAGTGCGTCAAGTAGGGGCGTGTCCAGGAGCTCAGGGCTCCAGTGCGTCATCCTGTTTTAGCCCCGCCCAAAAAATCAGTAAAATAGCAATGGTGAAAAAACTGTTCAACGGTCTAACTCCGCATTTCAGTACTTCACAGTTCACAGTCTTTGTAATATGTTTTAGCAATATATTTGTAACATTTATAATGTGTTTAATTTTTTTTTTGTAGAATTGCCTTAACAGGGACTTTAACATCCCCACCGCTCTTTGAGGTGTTGTGTGCTACTCGTCATACTTTTATTGGAACAAAATTGTTTATGGTAATCCTATTTACTCTTCATGTTATCCTTAGAATGCCAAAATGCTGCCTCCTGCAAAAAGGTTTAAAATAGAAAACTGCAATGAAGAAACCAACGGCTATCAAGTTAATCAGAATGGCATCCAGAAGGACGAGACCGTTGACGGCTCTGTGATGCGAAAACCTCAGGTGGTGTTGACCAGACTGGAGAGCTTGACGTCTGTAGATCTAACCGCTGACGCCCCCGCACAGAGTGCTGAAAATGCCAGCCCACCGAGGACAGAGGAAGAGCCTATGGAGACGGATGTGCCTTCTTCGGATTCTGATGCTACAAAAGCCGTAGAAGATCCAGAGATCTCCAAGGTCCTGAACAGCAGCGTAGCCGTGGATATCGCGGATCAGGTGAAACAGCTGGAACAGGCTCTGAGCACTGACTCTGAGTTTAAGAACTCGCAAGAACCCGCTCAGCAAGAGGTTCAAGAGGACCAGGTCGAAGCTCTCGAAGAGCCCGTGGTGCAGGAAGAATCTTCTGTTGTTATCCAGACAGCAGAGGGACTCGTCATGCAGAGCGCGGAAGAGTTAGCCGCCAAAGGGATCGTCATCGTCAACGGCCCCGATGGCACAATGATGCACATAGAGGCACCTGAAGGGGTTCCTTTAGAGACTGTTCATGCCCTGCTGGGCATTGAAACTGAAAGAAAGACTTAATGGAGTCGCATCTTCACTTCCTGTTTTTGTCCATTATTCACACCATACATGCGTTTTGTGTAATGGTGTTTTTTCAATGAACTTTTATTGCATTCTTTGTAAATTTGTATAAAAACAGTATTATTATATAATAGTGTTTTTTCTGTTTATACCACAAAAGTCATTGTTCATTTTGAATTTTAGACAGTTCACTTACGTTGGCATATCTTAACTATTGGTTTCTGAGGAAATGATTATGTAGCTGCGTGTTTTGTGTCTCAAGGGGAAAGTGATGACATGCTGGCAAAAGCTTTGCATATGTGACACTAAATTTGTGAAGGAATCAATTGCTTTTCATTTTGGAAACTGATTCTTTCTCAACATGCACAAATGGGAGGAAAGAAAATACCATTTGCCAAAACTAAGTTATGGACTTCAGCAAGGTTCAGAAAATCTGTGGTAAAATTTTTGTGATGATGTGTCCACTTAGTTGGCCATTCAGTGAAATCTGTACATAACCATTTCTTTGTTAGAAACCCAGGCTGTAGTTCTAATACAGTTTAAATTGGTATCCCATGACATTTTTTTATTTATTCAAACCTTTCTGGACATTCGTTCGAAAACGAACCTTTAAGGCTGAAAGTGGTCGTTCCCCAGAGGTTTGGCCCAAAAACATGGCATTTTTAGATGTCATACAAAGGGGATGTTTTTCATAACAGGCCACTCTTAAGCAGCGAAAAAACGTCTAGATTTGTAAAAAAAAAAAAAAAAAAAAAAACTGACTTGAGGTTCTTATAATCTTTGACTGCAGCCTCATATGTTCCATTGTTTCCGTTATTTAGTAGTTTGTCCAGTGCAAAAGTCATTTGAAAGGTTGTTGCACTATTTTATTACTTTTTATATAATATCTGGTTTACTGTTTTGAAACATCTCAGCATTTTTAATACAAAGGGACATGTTCATTAAAACTTTTGTGAGTGAGTTTATGGAGTTAAGACTTTGTATGGTAAAGAAAGGAAATAGGACAAGAAATTACAGTATAAAAACATAATTTAATTTTTCCTGAGAAAAATTTGAAGGTTAAAACGGATTAAAGCTATATACATGTTGGGATATATTATTTTAATTTGTTCTCATGCATAGATTCTAGACCAGGGGTGCCCAACCCTGCTCCTGCCTGTCGACTGTCCTGCACATCCAACCCTTATCACACACACCTGCCTTTAATGTTCAAGTGATCATGAATACCTTAATTGGTTGCTTCAGGTGTGTTTGATTAGGGTTGGAGATAAACTGTGCAGGACAGCCGATAGGCAGGAGCAGGGTTGGATACCCCTGTTCTAAACAGAATTACAAAGGTCTGTGACCTGTTTCTAATAGCAGACTTTCTAGTAGCAATTTTACACTGTCGTCAATGTAGGGTTGATACAGCCAGGATGACAGGTAGACCATTGAAAGATCAGTATTAGAAGTGTGGGCCAGTTCCTGAAGTATGGTCTTCTTCAGTGCCAACTCCTGCTTGTATGACTCGTAAAGCTTAGAAGATACTTCAGCTGCCATGAAGAGGACAAAGAAAAAAAAGGTCAATAACATGGGATTTAAGTGATAATTCCATTTTTAAAAATTACTTTGAGATTACATAGGATTTACGTGTATTCCAGCTACTGATCCGCAAATAATATGATTATATTATGGGTGTCTTAAGGAGTCACATTTGCAGGGTGGTATTTATTCATATTAATTTTAGAGCCAAACAAATTCTACTTAAGTAAACTGGACATTGGTATATGATTATGAGCCTTTCTTTCTCATACCAAACTGGTGCGTGGGCCACGTGTGGAACAGTGGTTCTGCTCTTCCTTTCTCTCCATACTGGAATGCTTCTAGCTCACAGATCCCACGCTCATCACTGACCATTTTCTCCATCTTTGACAGTATGTTTGCCTTTGGTGAAACAATTTGGACTACATAAATGTTACAAAAACACAATACTGGTAATGCTCCTTCTCCAAAACTGTACCATTTTATCCACAACATCTTGTAACTTCACACATTCTTCCTCAAGCTCTTGGTTGTTCTGTTTAAGATTCTTTGAAGGGTCTCCAGCTGCCAAACTGCCTCCTTCCATCACCATATCAGACTCCATATTTGATCTGGGAACAGAGATGACAGAGAAAACAGGCTACATGTGTAAAAGAGCAGGCAGATTGCTAACAAACCCATTTACATAAATATCTGATTATATATATATATATATTTTTGTATATATTGTTTAATATTTATTGTCCAATTGCCATATTGAACTTACTTTTTGTTCAGTCCCAAATTAACAATTTTAGTCGCAATCGTGGATCCGTCGTCATTAAATAGCTCCCATTTCTGGATGAGATTATGCCAATTGGCGGCGTTGTCCTTAAATTTCCTGGCACTTCCGGTCAAATTGCCTTTTTTTCCTGGGGTCGTGGACTCTGACATAATTATTTTTTTTATTATTAATATGTCCAATGCATAAACAGACGCTGAATTAGGTTGTGCTTTTCATCAAAACGCAATTTATTAACTGAGAGCAAATTAACTATTTGCAAATGTGTCTCCTCTGTATAGTTGTCGTTTAATTCCTTCATACACTCAAAGTATTTTAATTCGTAAAAATCAAAAACATCGCAGAAACTCCAAACTCACGTGTTTTTTTCTTTTATCTACTTCTACTGTTTTATGGTATGACAATTACAGGGTGCGTTAGTGACTCCTACTGGTCTGGAACAGAGACCTCCGAGTTCCCTAGTGCAGCCTTGTGTGTGTACTGTATATATATATATATATATATATATATATAGTGAACTTTAGGTGTGTAATTGTACCCCAGAGCGGGTTCTAGAGCCAATTTAATTATTTTTAGCCACATTTTGATTGGAACATCAATGTAAAAAGCTCTTTGTGCTTTGTCCCTCAGGTCACTAACAGCCTTCGTGAAGTTCCCTGTGTTGAATTATACCAAGGTATGTGTAGTTTTGAGTGTTCAAGAGACATGTTTTCTATTAAAATAGTGTAAAACAAACAAACAAAAACATGCATGTAAATCATGTATACAAAATATGTTTTCAGTATATTGTGCATCATACTTATTTTTCAAATGTTGTAGTAATCTGTATGTTTCAAAATGTATAAAATTATATATATCGCCCTTGTGACAACTAGAATGAAAAAAACTCATTTGGGGTTTTTCAAATAATTCAAATGTAATGTTTCCAAAAATCTTGAAGTATGTGATTACATATATTATAGATTTGAATTTCTCTATTCCTGAAAATTTGCCCACAGGCCATTACATGTTTATTTCATTCACCTAAAGCGTAGTTGCATTTCCTCTTAACAGCCCCATAAAGGGTAGCAGACATCGCTTTCATCATAAAAATTCATGTGCATTCCCCATGCTACCAGCCTACATTTTGGAAATGGGGAAAAATATAGGATTCTCATGTTAAAATAATACTACTAAATAAACAGATAATTTTAATAAAAGGCTGTTTATATAGGTTTAAATCAAAATTTTGCTCAAAATAAAAATTATAATAAAAAAAACTTAGCATTTAAAATCAAATTCACTTTTGAACTTTCTGAAGCTCACTGCAAATAGTTTTTAGAACCATTTTAAATATGACAAAGAAATAAAACACAAGATTAGTACCAATAAATTCATCCCATTTTTTTTCTTTTTTATTGTAAACATTTTGAACTGAAGATTCACAATTTTATAAACACAGATGATGGTATATAATCAAGTGCATTTGACACTATATGTCAAGTAATGTTTCTCTTATGTGTGGCTGCATGTTGCATATGGCCGTGTAGTGGGTCAGTCAGTTTTTGTGGTGTGCTGATCACTCGCGTGTGTGTACAGTTGATTATTCTTGTAGCTTGTTGTCCCCCTGTCCTCTTCGAACTGTGGAAGGCAGTAAAGATCATACAAACGGTGTGCTAAATCGTCAGCCTCCGCCACCCCTTCGCAGCTCATCTGCCAGCTCTGGGGAATGGAGTCGATGCCATAATGTGCCCCTGCGATTGCCCCTGCCATGCAAGCAATGGTGTCCGTGTCGCCACCCAGAGCCAAGCTGTAGGCTATTGTCCTCTCCAGTCCTCCGAACTGCTCCGGCAGCCCATCACGGGGCTCCAAACAATGCAGCACGCAGAAGATTGCGGTGGGCACTGACTGTAAGGCAGCGATGCCATTTCCTAATGCAAAGAAAGAGCGTCAACTAAAAGAAAAACACAGCAGAATGCCATTCTAAAAATGATCAAAGCAATACTAACCCAATTCAGATATGACCTCCTCAATGCTCACACTGTTTCTGTCCATAAGTTCTTTCACCCTGTGCAAACGTGAGCAATATGGGAAGTCTGATAAATTGAGTCTGTGGAATGAAACATAAGTTTGTCAGAACCATAGAGAAATTTCTTTTTAATCATGTTTTAGTTTCAAGTTTATTGCCAAGACAACATTTCAAATTTTCATTCAAGCCAAGTTTTTTTTTTTTTTTTTCAGGCTTTATTCAAATCACAAAAACTTTTAGCGATTTAAAAAAAAAATGTAATCAACAAAAACTGTTTAAAAGTTCAAAATATATTTTTGTGTTCTACAGGTTTAGAACGACATGAGGATGAGTAAATAATAAAATCTGCATTTTTTTTTTTTTTTTGGTGAACTATACCTTTAAGAAACAAACACCTGCAGCTCATTTTTTTGATGGGCTCACTTACGCTTTAGCATCAAGCTGGGCTGTTTCATCTTTTTCCATATCTTCCATTTCTGAGATCAGTTTGTTGATGAATTCTTTGGGCAGAGCCAAAGCACCTTGGAGAGACAGATGGACAGCAAGGGCCTGCAACATCGCCCCGTTGTAGCCCAAAGAGCACGAGTGTGTTAACATAGCGCCAAGCCGTGAGTACTGCCAAAAGCAAATGCAAGGACAGAATGTTAGCCTGGGACAGTCCAAATTAGTGAAGTATTTAAATAAGTGGTTTTAACCTTTCTGACTCGAAGGCCGCCAACTGTTCAGCATAATATTCAAATATTCATAGAATAAATTCTTGCTTAGGTGTGTTTTTAGCATTCTAATATATATGTAGTCTAAAGCTATTGTTGATTGCAATTCATTGTTTTATGGCAACTTAGCCCAAAATGCTAAAAGCTGAAGTTTTCACCTTGCGGACATCATTGCGACTTCTAAAGGCAAGGGCGAAAGGTGCTGCTCTCATGGCACCTCCATTCCCGAAAGAACCGCGGCCGCCAAACTGAGCCTGTGCCGGCTGGAAGACATCCTTCAGATGGGGAGATGCAAGCTTCCGCAGAACCTGTATGACGCCTGAGCCGTAACCTCGATCCGGAGCAAGGTTATACTCCTTTGCAAATCTGGAATCAAGTAAGATGATAAGGGAAAAGCAAATACTTGCTTAAAATGACTTTTTTAGCCATTTCCAGCAGTAATGTACCTTCGAGCCATGTCTCGTTCATCAAACGCCATCCTGGTGAGGAGTGAATCTGCAACGCATCGCATCATGGCCGTATCATCACTGTACTGAAGAATTCCTGGATAAAATGTAGATGAGATGTCGTCTAAAATTAACTAAGAAACACTGAATTCATAGTCAAGAATGTTTCATGGAAGTAAAACTTCTCTTAGGACCGAAAATATTTTGTAGAAATGGTACAAAACTTGTTGGCAATTGCTATATAAACACACAATCAAATTTTATGGATAGAAATGGCTAAATGGTCTTGTATCACACTTTTAATCTACCTGATCAAACATTACCACCATAGGAAGTATGAAAATACAGAGCAATTTTTGAGGTATGTAAATATGTGCTGCATGTTCCTCTCAATAATAAAATAAACAAGCAACAAAATTGAGAGAATGTTGCATGAGCTGCACTTGTCCAACCACTGGATGTGTGTGTATATATGTTGGATACTGGATGATTATAAATACAAATACATTTACTTCTATCATTAACTTTTATTATTACTAACTGTTTTTTTTCTACTATTTGTATTATTTTGTATTGAAATAAATCGTGCATCAGGTGAATAGGCCTATTACCATTAAATTCCCTTCTCTTTTTTGAACGCGAAAGATTACGAGTGGCCACTTATGAGGGATAAAATAGGGTTAACAAAGACTTCAGGACCTGCCAATGGTTATATATCACATATTAGCCTAGTACGTGATATGGCCTTCTGATATGGTCATACTGACGTAATCATAGAGTTAGAGATTAAATATCAAGGCTCAAGTAGATATTCTTTTAATATATATACAATGTGAATATGGAATGCTCACCGTCGCCCCGTGTTTCATCCTCCAAAGCGCTGAGATGCTGAAGGACTCGATCCAAAGGCACATCCACGGCGCCTTCAAACTCACCGCCTATACAGTCACCCAAAACAGAACCGACCAGAGCTCCGCGGAACCGTGACAACATCACCGGGGCTGCTAAACGCGCCGTAGCAGACATTTCTCCTACTGTACCTTATTGTTAACGCAAACTGCACGTGATAAACAGATTCAGACGACCCTTGTATGAATCTAGAACAGTGACATCTGGGGTTTGTTATGCTGGATTGTTGTTGTCATTGTGTGACCCGCTTCTTACCGCACCATGTCAAATATAACTGCATCACGATTTATTAAACTATTCGCTGAAATAATATTTTCGATTGACTTACTCAAATATATATAACTAACTTTGCAGAAAGGGTTTTGTCTATTTTTTAATGCCTTCTTTTCATTATTTAATTACAGGAACCTATGCAAACAGCAATGAAGTGCTCACTGCGCAGCTGCTGAAGTAACGTTAGGTGAGGTGAGGTTTCGATGTCTGCTGATTCGACGAATTATAAATCATGAAATTCTTTAAAAACCGTTGTATGCAAGTCATATATACATATGTGTATACTTTTGTAGTTTATTTATAATATTAATATTTATTTACTTCTAATTAAAGTGCAGAAATGTTGTTCTTTGTATGTATTTGTGAATCTGCTGACCTGATAATGTTCATGACAAGGAAGTTGCGGTTGGATTGCGCATCGCGCTCTATTTTCTATGATCTGTATGTCATATGCTTATTATTCAGGTTAGCGATGAATCCTGTGCCAAATGTATGCATTTGTTGACGATATCTGCTTTTCTTTGACGCTTGCGTAGTTGTGCTAGTGTTCAAGTGAGAAGTTACGAAGAGGCGGTAATTTGAAACAACACAGACGTTTTATTTGCCAATATCTGGCAGATCGAGGATATCACATTCAAGAACGACAGGTAAAAGACGGAACGATATGAAAATCATAAGTCACGCAGCAATAGTGTCAGTATCTATATTAATATAACAGTTAATCATATCAACTAAGAGCAACAAGCTATCTATCTAGTTTTACTTTACTGGGCGTTCATTGTTTTAGAGTCTAACATGTTTTACGAGGGTTCATTTAATGTCTCCAATAATGATTTAATGTTACCAATGTCCATCAGTGGACCACAGAGCACCTAAAGATTAAAGTCACCATGAAATCAAAGTAGACCATTTCTATTTTGAATGGAATATTGCATTATTTATTATAAAAGGTTTATCCGTGCACATCATTATTTAAATAATAAAAAAAAATCATTTGTCCTTGTAATCTTTAAAAAAAATAATCCCCCTCTTCTGACAGTCTCTCTCTTTGATGACGTTTTGAATGCATGGCGCGAGGGCGGGACAACCTGTCACTCACATGAGATCACAGCAGTAGCAAAAGACAACTACACAATCAATCCCAGCTCTGGCTCTAAACTGTATTTTGTATTGTTTTGTTGTTTAAAGCAAAAAAAAAAAAAAAAATTTTTTTTTTATAAAAATAATCAATTCCACATGGACAAAATCAAGTCCTGCCTTACATGTTATCTGCATACTTGGATACGCATTCCGTTTCATGCTGACTTTAAATGTTTTTTCGGGGGAAAGCAATACGATTGCAAGATAATGTAAAATGTTTTCAAGCAAACACAAAGGTTTTGCGGGTGAAAGAAATAATTCTTCCTACCATAATGATTCCCACAACAAGAATGTTCATAGGGCCTATGACAAAAAGATGCAATCTGTTAGTTTTGATAAAAGACAATTCCCTGGGACATGAAAATGTCCATATCTGAAAAACCACCATAATTTATTAGGGTTTTTTGTTTGTGTTATTGCCACCAGGTCTGGAATCACATATGTAATGAATCCCTGGGACCCCATTACTTATACAGTGACACCTGCCGCTAAGATTTTAGCCAGATGTGTAACATCAGGCACCATGACACAGGTAAACCAAGAGAATTATTTTTTTCTTACACTGATTATAAACTGTCCTGGTGGTTAATGTAATGCATTTGTGTTATGAATCTTATAGGAGGAGCTTGATGCTCTCCCACAGGATTCAGAAGTATTTTCCTCGTATTTACTTGAAGCTGAGCAGCTCAGCAGAATTAGACATGATCTTGATCAGGTTGGAAACAAACTAGAGCCGTGATTATTTTATTTTTTTTGCCACTTCTTTGATTTTCAAACCTTAAACCACTGAAATGATTTTCTATTTGTCATCATATTGTTTTAGACTAGTTTAGATTTAGAACTGCTGAAGCTGGAAAGAGACGGTGCAGACGTCACTCACAGTCATTACCTCAGTAAGTGTTGGAAACAGAATCGCGCGCATAAATCCACATTTCAATATTGAATATTAAAATTTTACTAATAAGTGTGTTTCTTTGTTAGGTCAAAGGTTTGCTTCCTTGCAACAGTTCACTTCCCATCTTCAGGAAGTATTGCGAGATCAGACAATCCTGCTAGAGAGACTCACAAAGCCACTGTGTCAGCAGAACCTGCCCATTCAGGCTGATCTTCACAGGTCAGAGGGGTTTAATGTCCCACTCAAACAAAATGGTCTTCGTTTGGAGTTTTAAATTGTGCTTTTGTATTGAAATAATTACTTGCAGTATTGATTATTGTTTAATGTAACATAAATCTGTGTACAGATATGTGGTAGAGCTCATGGGGATGGTGGTGGAGTTCATTCAGAACCTGGAAATGAAAATTGAGATTGTTCGAGCAATTCCAAACACTGGTAGTTATCTGAGTAATCTGGTAAGTCTATACACACACACACACATACACACACTCAGTATGTATGTTTCATGGTGTAATGAAACAATCATGGTGCAATCATGGTGGTCATTTGAACTAAAAATATACAGATCTATGGTGGTTAAAGGTTCAAATAAATATGTTATGATTTGAAACCACATTCTATGTGATGTTCATTACCTTTATTCTTGCAAACATGTCATGTTTATAATGCAAATTCATATTATAACTGTTCTCCCTATCAGAACAATGGCAGAACTCAACTGCTGGCTCAAGTCACTGAGGTTGAGAACCTGTACAAGCAAGTTCTTAAGCGACGAGGACATTCACAGGAATGAAAATGACTTTATACATCGAAATATAAGCTATCATATTTTGTTTAATGTTGTTCTATTCTGTGTACCTAGTGGTTGTTGACAAGGAACTTTGATACATTAGAGAAAACTGATTTATGGATTATATTCTGCAGCAGTATATATACATTTTCAGGCATGTTTAATTTTTGTGAGTTTTTCTTTTGTAATAATTATAGTAAATAAATGTTTCGGCGCTAGGAACCAGCATCATGTATTATATTGTTTGTGTTAGGGATGCACGATATATCGGCCAACATATCGGTATCGGCCGATATATGTTCATTTTTAATGTTATCGTTATCGGCCTGGTAAGAAAATGTGGCCGATATATTAAAGCCGATAAATAATGTATTATTCCCTTCAGCTGAGACACTTGTTGAGAACTGTTTATGTTTTTGAATTTTGAAATTTTGAAATATGATTGAAATCTCTTCAAAAAATGAAAATTTGGTTCGGGACAACATGTGCAACGCAAATCTGTCATATCGGCTGAGAACATCATTATAATTGTGCGCTTGGGACATGGATTTAATTGTGAGACTTTTGTTTTTGTAATCAGGCTCTCAAAATTAGATAAAAAATTTGGATTTAAGTTTATCGGCCGATATATCGGTTATCGGCTTTCAAATATAAAGAATTATCGGTTATCGGCCAAAATTTTCATATTGGTGCACCCCTAGTTTGTGTACAACATACAGCCTACCTTTACTGATACCTCAATATACCATCAGTGTAAAATCAGTGACCTGCGGGATACTTGATGCATCAAAGCATTTCTGGACGTTTATAGCCTGTTTTCTTGAACGTCAGTGACTGGAGTGAATTATGTTTAGGTGGAACAACTCAAAAGGTTTGATTTAGTGTTCAGGAATTTGAATATATTATATAGTTGGACAAATGAAACCATAAATTCAGTACAATAAGTTCTGCTGTTGCTGCTTTCCCATCTCTTCTAATAAGAGTACTTTCTGTGCAATGATGTGTTTTGTACACAACTGCTCCATCTATAGAAAAACAGAAAAATATCAACAGGCAATTAGTGTGATACTGAGATATCTATTTCTAGAGTAGTGATTCTTAACCCGCAAACCTACAAGGGGGGCATATTTTATGACTTGCATTTAAAAATTGTTTACACCTGTTGCATTCCCATACTAACCTGGAGCTTTATCTCATGAATCTTGCTTTCATCTCCCTGCAGGCTGTACCCATGCTTTTTCAGAAGATCTTTAATGTGTCTTAGTGAGAAAAACGATTAAAGTAGCATTCAGAAAACTGAAAAGTTTTTACAATCTTACTCCCAAAAATGACAGTGGTCTATAAGCACATACCTTTGCACCTCAGCGTTGCGTTCCAGTGCATAACGCTCTTGTAGGAAATGCTGTAACTCCGGGCCCTTTGCGTCTAAAGTGCTCAGGGCCTCACAGGCAGCAATGCGCACACTGGGCTCTTCCTCATGGTGTACAGCCCACATCAGCAACTCCTGGACAGCTGGGCTCATCCAACCTATTTTCTTTAAAGCTTCATTTATATAATGATATTTCTTTAGTGTACTCATAAAAATAGTAACATAGAATGCCTGCAGTCATTTTCAAGCTCACCATTAATTGCTTCCACTTTCACCTCCCATATTGGCTCATTCTGCATCAGATTAATAAGCTGATCAACGACCTGTAGAGATGTTTTATGCGGTTATTCGAGTGAACCCTCAATTTATTTTTCAATCAATTGTGCGTTTACACAGCTTCTTCATCTCCTCACCGACTGGTCTTCCATCATCAGAGAGGCTGCAGTCAAGCAAGCTTGTTTGCGCACAGTCACATAGTCATCTTTAAAGCACTGAAGGAAAGTGGGCAGTAGCTTGGGTGTCATTATTTTGAGTTGACCAATTAAGATCAGCGCTTCCAGACGCCAAGCGGTTGGACCCTCCTCCAGTTTTTCGCTGTGGAGAAATTGATTGTCTATTAAGAATGAACTGAATATAAATGCTCTGATGTGTCTGTTGGGTTGAGATAGTAACCTCAGCTCACTGTGCATTTCTCTGGCCACGTTCAGTTTACTCAGAGCCAGTGCTGCAGCATGACGAACAGCACAGCTCCAGTCGTTCCACATCATGTGTATCAGTTTGTTGCAAACATCCTGCATGAAAAGCATTTCTAGCATGTTCAGCAATCTTGGAGATATTAGATATGTAGATATAGGTGTCTGAAATGTCTTAAAGAATTATATTATGATACCTTGTTGATTTGACTTTTGAGCTGTGCAATGCTTGTACAGGCCTGAACTCGCATTCTCCAGTTAGCGCTGTTTAACTCTTCTGCTAGAAGAGAGCGTACTAGTGTCTGGATGGGAAATACCATGCGAAATATAGGGGGGGTCAAAAATATTAGTTTGAAAGAAAGAAATATTTATTGAGCAAGGATGCATTAAATTGATTAAAAGTGACAGTAAAGACATTTATGATGTTACAAAAGATTTCTGTTTCAATTAAATGCTGTTCTTTTGATCTTTCTATTTATCAAAGATGTATCATGGTTTCCACTTTAAGAAAACTTTTGCTGATAATTTACTCACTCCCATGTCATTCAAGATGTCCATGTCTTTCTCTCTTCACTCGAAAAGAAATTAAGGTTTTTGATTAAAACATTCCAGGATTTTTCTCCATATAATGCACTTTACTGGTAACCAAACGGTTCAAGGTCCAAAAGACAGTTTCAGTGCAAACTGTTCAAAGAGCTTTAAACGATTCCAGACGATGAATAAGGATCTTATTAAGCGAAACGAGCGGTCATTAAAAAAAAAAAAACGTTTATGTTTTATAAGCTCAAATGCTCGCCTTGTTCTGTTCTGTGATGCGCATTCGTGACTCTCCTGTTCGAACTTTTTTATCAAAATTAACAAATCTTTTTTCATGTGGGAAAAGATGCGTTCTTATAAAACCATTTGAGCGTATAAAACTTAAACTTTGTCTTTTTTTTTTTAAATGAGCGATCGTTTCGCTCGGTCTTAAAAAGACCCTTATTCATCGTCTGAAATCGTTTAAAGCCCTTTGAACAGTTTGCACTGAAACTGTCTTTTGGACCTTGAACCGTTTGGTTCCCATTGAAGTCCATCATATGGAGAAAAATCATGGAATGTTTTCATCAAAAACCTTAATTTCTTTTCGACTGAAGGAAGAATGAAATGGACATCTTGGATGACATGGGGGTCAGTAAATTATCAGAAAAAAAAATTTAAAAAAAAAACATTGATAATATAATAAAAAATATTTCTTGAGCACCAAATCAGCAAATTGCAATTATTTCTTTAAGTATTATTTGACACTGATGAATGGTGGTGGAAAACTAAGTTTTGCCATTACAGGAATAAATAATTATATATATATATATATATATATATATATATATATATGTATACAGTAATTTAGAATAGTAATAATATTTCACAATATTAAATGCAGCATAAGAAACTTCTTTCAAAAACATAAAAATCAACCCCAAACTTTTAAACTTACGTTTATGACAAAATGTGAACAAGATAAAAGTTTACATAGTCATAAATGATATGCAAAAATATGTGTCTTTTATGCAAAAACCAGTGCGAGAGAGACTCACAGTCTTGCTGCTGATGTGTGAGAGTAACTTCATAGACTGCTCCTGATCTGAAAGAGCGTCTCTAAGGAAGTGCTGTGACAGGAGTCTCTGTATGACAGCTTGACTTGCATCACCGTCGATAGCCAAGCACTGCGCCGCCAGCCAGCTGTCTGCACCCGTGCCAGAGGGGTCTGAGTCATAACATATGATGGTCATTTTGAGTCAACATCGGAGTAGGATAGATTGCTTTACTTGTGATATTAATGTTTGTTTTAGAGTTTATTTTAAATGACATTTTTAGTTTTCAAGTAATGGTCTCCTTTCATTTATGCACCTTGTTTTATCATGCTTCGTAGAATGTCTCTGGCGGGTGTGTTAGGTGTCCTCATGGCATACTGGCACACTGCAGAAGTCATCTGAACTCTCTTCACTGGATCCTCAAGGGCTGAGACAATGAGAGCCTGCAAATCTTGCGGTACCACCTTCAACTTCCATTTCTTACTATGTTGAGCTGAGCAAAAAAAATTAGATGGAAAATATATTTATTTTCTACTTCAATTAATTACTGCCTTAAAAGGGTTTATATTATATTATAATAAATACAACACCATGTTGTAAACATCAGTAAGATGAAAATAATTTTCTTATGCTCACCAAGGCTGCATTTATTTGTTCAATAATCCAGTCAGATATTTGACTATTTAAAACAACTAAAATGCAATGATCATGGCAAAGCTAAATTATCAGTAGCCATTACTCATTATTCGTCACATGATCCTTCAGAAGGATGTGGTGCTCAAGATTTGCTTTTACTTTGATCAATGTCGAAAACAGTTTAATATTTTTGTGGAAACCTTTGGTGAATAGACCGTTCAAAATAGCAGCATTTAAAGTATTTGACAGATTTTTTTTAACAATGTATAAAATTTTACTGGCACTTTTGATTAATCTTAAAAGTATACATTTCTTTAAAAAAAAAATGTTGTCTTTCTGAGCCCATTTTTTTTAATATGAATTTAAAGATGTATTTTGAGCTGACAGATTAACATGCTTTGCCAGGGTGAAGCTCTTCTTGTGGTCCATTAACTGCTCTTGATGCGTTAAGATGGCCTCCAACCGCACTGTGTAATTAGGGTCACTAAGAGCTCTTTTAAAGCATTTTTAACACTAATAGTGCACTTTAACTGCAAGTAAACAACCACACTACATAAGTAAGTCTACCTGAGAAGTTCTCCTGTGTAAAGGCATTCTCTGTGACATGGCTGCCTGGACGTGGATTCAGAATATCCTGCAGACGAGGGGTCTGTGGGATCTCAATGTGCTTGACGGTCACAGTTGCAGTCTTATTTAAGTGGTTCTGCACATTGATGCTTATTGGAGAGAGCCCATAACCTGGTATCCTGTTAAATAAGGACAGACACCACAAAATATCAACAACAACAATGTGAAATTCAAGTGTGTTAAAGGGATAATCCACTCCCAAATGAAAACTTTGTCAATACCCTCATGTAATTCCAAACCTGTGTGCATTTCTTTCTTCTGTGTGACATACACACAAGAAAGGTATTTTGAAGAATGTTGGTAACCACAGTTTTGGTTCCCATTGTCTTACATTGTATGGACAAAAAGCACAATGTAACAGAAGCTTTTGAGTTACCAACATTCTTCAAAATATCTTCTTTTTCATTCGTAAGTTTGGAACACATAAGGGTGAGTAAATGATGACAGAATTTTCATTTGTGGGTGGATATCCAATTATAAAAGCATTTTGATGAAAGCAGAAGATTCTGTGACAGTATTACCTGTGTTGTTTCCTCTGCTGCAACAGATTAGTCTTATTTTGTGCCGGAGCCTGTAATGAAATTCTGCCTTCTTCTTGGGTTAAAGTATTCATGTAACAGTTTCTTTTTTTCTTTCCATGCTTCTTTTTTTTCTTTAATGTTGTAGATGGTGCTAAGGGGCCTGTGGTATGGAAAAGCCAGCTAAAATCAAATTTTCTGTATGAAATGGTTCCCATCTCACAAATAACTTCTTCAGAGAAAGAAAGGTGCTGGCTTGTGTTATTCAGAAACTGTTTGTAAAGACACTCCTCTCTGCGCTTGCTATGGTGCTCTGGTCTCCAGTTTGCATGCTGTAAACTCATGGTTGTCTGTGAGGCCTTATGGGACATTGTCTAAAATAGAAACAAGGATCAAATAGAAATTGATTATTTGATTCTTAAAGCCTGCTGGGTTAAAAAAAGCAGCCTTTTTAGCTATTAAAAGACATCTGGAGCCTGCTGTAAAACACTACATATCAACCCAATTAATAAATACATAAAATATATATATAAAAAAAACATAGCCTAAGCCACTGACTGTGTTGTTACTATGAAAAGCCACCTACCGCCACACTTCACAAATCACGTCTCCACAGGAATCACAGCACAGAGATCACACTGGAAATTTCATTACATTTATTTTTCACAGCAGTTTTAATCAAATGTTTAGACCGAAATTGAGTTTAAAATACTTTTTAATAAAACAAGCAAAGCGCGTCGCTGACAGGTAACGTTTTAAAGTTACCAGAGCTCAGACAGCGCTCAAAAGTAGGCATAGCAACGAGCCGCGCTTGTTTTGCTGCAGAGCGGCTGCCATGGCTCCTTGACATTAACTAGGGATTACACATAAATAGATGCCTCATTGGGTTATATAGCCGTCCGACATATTGGAACAGTCATAACCGGTCCGTGAAAATTCGAGAGTCAGATGTATTAACACCTGGAGATGATTTGGCTAACACAGTAGGCTACAACAAGAAAACTGCTTCAACTAACAGGACATTAAAAGTTACTATAGTAAAAGTAAAAAAAGTTTTTTTTTAAAGTACCATAGTTAATTCATATAAAAGCACAAAGCAACACATTTCTTACCTGTAAAAAGTTAAATTTCGTCAGTTGATGACACGTTGACCGTTCCAAGATGGCCAATCAAAAGGCGGGTCTGTTCCGGTCTGTTCACAGAAGAGGAGTGCGAATTCCAATGTTTTAACAGAGGAAGAGAGCATGGTAAGATACGTAAATAACGTAATATCTGATCCGTTTGACAGTAAGACTGACTGTAATATTGAAAATGTGAATCAAAAATATGATATGTATATGATTCATATCTGAATGTGATGAGACAAGAAATATTTTGTGTTTTCGACATTACATATGCAAATAATTATTATTATAATAATAATATCCCAGCAAATTAAGTTGACCTAAGGAGAGCAGCCCCAAAATGCATCTCTTTTACAAGATTTGTTGTGAGTGATTCTAGCACAGTTCAGCTACTTTCTGGTGCACAGCTGTTTTGACTTTGGCAAGCGAGTTATGGGCCAAGAACACACCATATAATTCCATGCAGCATCTGGGATGAATATAGGATTCCTCCTGACAGGCGGAGGATTCCATCACAATAGTTTCACACAATATGAGACAATGCTGACTACACAATAGAGCAAACAAAATCAATCATGACCACATCTACACATGAAAACAATGAACAAATCGGTGTATATAAAAGACGTTCCGGGGGACATTTTGTAACATGTTTTAGCACTGGTGCAATTTTATTCTGCACTATTTTTTTAACAGTCACTGCCATTTCAACAGCATTTCTTGTCTTTCTCACAACCTTCAAACATACAGGTCAGGCCATTACATTCACTTTAAAGGGGAATTGCTAGATATGATGAGTCTCTCTCATTAAACTCATTTTATGAGCCGATGTATTTTGAATGTGATGTCTTCTGTCACAGGGACACATTGATATACCAAGGTGTGAAGGACCATATTGCTCTTTCTGGAAATCTCTTCAGAGGGACAGTATCCAACAAGCTGCATACATAGATCACCTGCTTCTTTGAAACAATGTGAGCAAATTGCCATGCAACCGTAGCTTATATAAACTGAACATCATACAATTATTTGATGCCAACATATTCATTCAATGGATCAGCAGCATTAACAAAATAACACAAAAACAACTACTAATGATAAAAGAAATATAAAATATCCAAAAAGATATCAGTAAAGGTTACAAACTTTTAAAGAATGTATTAAAATCTATTTTTATTTAAAGATTTAGGGATATTCCAATTTCTTTTATTTAACAAATAAATATTTGTAGTCTTTAATAATCATAGGAATGCTAATCTTTTTCTCAAGCTTTGATAAATTAATTTGATAAAACATCAAAACATCTGTATTATTAATAAAAAAATTAAATATATATATATAAATTTAACTGACATTTGTCAGCCAACCGTTAATAACCAGTGTCAATTAATGGTTGATAATTCCAATCCAGCCCTTTAATTTAAATCAAAATGTAAACAAAACAGTCTTCAATGCTGGCCTGAATACGCTACATTTATAATTTAGCATGTGTTAGTGTGGCGAGCAGGACTAGGCCGAGAGCGCACCGCTCTCTCACGGCCCTCGGCCTCGTCCTGCTCGTCAAAGTTAGCTTTTAGAGATATATTTCATGAGAACACACTTCATCAGTTCGACGCCAAGCAATTCCTCTAAATGAAAAAGCCATGTTGGCCACTTTCTGCGTAGTGCAAATAATGATGTTTAACGAACCTTTTCTATCACTGAAATAGTCAAGTTCAAGTCCTGACAAGTTCAAGACACTTTAAACCGAAGTCTCCACACAACAGGAGTCTCTACGAACATAATAACTCCTCACCTCTGAGGAGTCCCCACAGCCCTCAGGCCGATGTACTATGAGGACTGGGAAGAAGCGAGCGTCTTGGTAATTCGGCGGGCTGTCATTAAGGGCAAGCTGACTGGTGTAAGACCTGCAGCACTGCTCATCAGGGCAGCAGCGCTCTGTAAGTGTACTACTACGGCTTCTCCACAGTCCCATAGTGCGCCTGGAGCCGTACATGCGGCACAACGAGAAGTGCGAGGTGTCCAGGGACAAACGGGAGTGGAAGGTGTGCCGAGAAAAGATGGAGGAACAGCTAGAGCTGATCGTTGGCTGTCTTCGGTCGCCTTCTTCTTGGCAACAGTGCTCACAGTTCTGCACCAACGTCCCGTAGCTCTGCGTTGAGCAGCTGTCCAACAGCAATCGATTGGAGGAAATGCTGTCTCTGTGGTTTGACCCAGAAGCCCCCAGGTTCATCAGCATGGCTTCCGAGTAGCTGGGTATAAGCTGGCGGTTTGAACGAATGTGCCATTCCAGCTCCGTACTATCCACCGTTTCTACTCTTGGAAGGCCATAGCGAGTGTCCAACACGGTGGCATCAGCCTCTGGAGACGGGCTGTTGTTGCTATACTCTAGTCCGAAGAGTTTCTCGACTTGGTAGTGCACAAACGCCGTCCGGTACTCGATTAGCACTCGCAGTGGCCAGGAGAGCATGAGGAGAGCCGCTATCCAGAAGGTGACCCGCGAGGTGTACCACGGGAGTTGATCGGGATCCACATAAGCGATGAGGTGCTCTTTAAAGTCGACATTCTTCAGAAGCATGCCTTCTCTGGCTTCCATGTAGTCGTCCAAACCCTCGATTTCCGAGAAGAACCTGGCTCGCTGGTTGAGGTATGAATTTTCAGGACCCGCTCCTGCGAAGCTGAAGCACTTGGAGAAATGCAATCGCGTCGCTGCGTGACCCTCCAGTCCGCGCAAATTTCGTGAGACGTCTCTCATTCCGCAGCGGCTGTAGTCGAATTCGCCCTCTGCCACGTGCGTGTTAACACGCTCATGAAAAACCTGCGTGGTTGTGTAGGCATCTCCATTCCTGTAACGCGTCACTTGCCGAGTCCTACGTACAAAATGGTAACTGATGGCTTTCCACCAGACGCACGGTCGGGCTTGACGCATGCGCAGAACCCTTTCGTACACGCTCTCAACGTTGGCCTTGCACTGCAACTCGCTGCGGGCGCGACAGTGCCAGCACTCCATAAGGTAAACGGCGTAGAGCATGAGCAGGAAGGCCAAGGGGATGTACACATAACCGTCAGAGCAAGGGCTCTCGTGGTATATCATGGAGCGACCTCCTCTAAGAGAGTTCATTGAGGCTGTGAGGGAAGTACTGGAGGAATCGAAGCTCAGCTTGGTGACCTGGGTGAGCTGACACCAGGCCACGGCACCGAGGCAGCTATACATGAGCAAGGAAAGGAGAAGGCAACGCCAGTGCGTCTCGCGGCACATAGAGGCACTCAGGGACTGCTTTATTGGCCATTGCTACAAGGAATAATGAGAAAGATAAAGAGTAATTAGCATATTGTAAGGGAGACAGACTTGCTGTGAACGAGAAAACAAGAGGTAATGAATAAACAAACCATCAGAGATTTAGTTTCACTTATGTAAGACAATGATAATGTACGAGGGGATCGTATTTCCTCACATCAGTGTAGTTAAAACTAAAACTACTAAAGCGATTTCTGAGAAATGCTGCTGATATTTGAAATCACCAGAAAGATCATACTCCTATCTTGATAGGTCCACCCCCAAAATTCAGGCGGCATCCGATATAGCATAAAAAATGAAAATTGAGTGACAAAATAAGTATGTCCGAATTCATAGTAGTCATAAAAGAGTAGGCATACTTCTTCTGGCGAGATGCTAAAGTGTGCATTCGATGGACACTTTGCTATCCCATGAGGCCACGGGAGATGATTTATGAATGGAAGTGAAGCAATGTAACTGATGCTGGTAGGCTCACATGATAAAGACAACATGGCAAATGTAGTACATCCAGGTTATATTCCTACTACACATTTATACAATATAGAACATTTTTAGCGGTTGTGAAGTACTTATTCAAAATAAGTACCAACCTAAGAGAGTATGTGATTTCGAACGCAGCCTAACCTGCTATGCAACACAGGCCTAATAAGTGTATAAACACACCTCACTGTTGATTGGCCTCAAGTGTGTGTTTCGGTGCTCGGTTCAATCCACTTTTTAACAGCATTTCTCAGAAATCGCTTACTGTACCTTTTAAAACTAATTTTCCGTAATTGAAATAAAGCTGAAATAATCATATAAATTATCATAAAAATTAGAAATGTGTGAAAAAGTGAAATAAGTTGAGGCTGAAGTACTAAAATTATGTCAGCTAAAACTGAAATAAAAAATCTGAGTCAAATATTAATAATTAAAACAGTAATAACAATGTCAAAAGCACAAAGTTAGTAAAACCTAATCGAAAATTAAAATGAAAACTGGAAATATAACAATAAAACCTTATTTGAAATAATAATAAATAGTATAATAATATTGTATAAATAATAAAATAACAGTGCCTTAGCTCTCCAGTGCATCTTAAATGTCCTATACCTTTAACCTCTTCATGTACACTTCTAATAAAAATAAAATAAGTTTAAAATAAAATGTTTTCATTTGAGTCTACTTCAAACAAAGTGCAGACAACGCATTAAGAGTAAACCCTGAACATGACTAGAGGGATATAGATCTTTGTGAGAAAGTGGGGCCTGACAAGACTGAGGATTTGTAGCAATCCCTCAGTTTAGACTTAATTACTTATAGTACATCCTGACACAAAGTCTCAAGAAAACGTCTATTAAGCCTATAAGCACTCACTTGCTTTAGACTTGTTAACCATTTGACCATTTTGCAGGTAATTCAATTTTGTAATGACATTTTTCTTTTCCTCATCATGAGGGCCCTGTGTATCCATGCAATGATCAGTAGAAACAAAACATGCTGATGTCATTGCCACTTTGTCTTGAGCCAATGGCAGACAAAATCCATTGAATTTTTTACATTTTTGTTTTTACTCAACCTGCAGGAGAGTGGCTCAGCAATGATTTTGTGTGCTAAATCTGAACTTGATTCCATTCTTTAGTAAAGCACAGAAGTGGAAAAGGACCTTGCTCCTAATTGTGAGTTTGAATCTCATTCAAAGGGTTCAAGTGAGCTGAATAGAAATTATGATGAAAAAATTACAGCTTTTAAAAATACCATAATAATCTACTTTTAGTTATCAAATATCTGAGAAGTTTGTGTTTTGAGTTAAAAAAAACTGTATCATGCTCAATATTTGTATGAGTTGAGAATGTAGGCCTATGTTGTCCAGTAAGTGTACATTTCAGCAGCTAATACCACTGCTTCTGATATTTATAAGGGTTGAAAGGCTTTTAAAGAGGGAAGAGTGAGGCGCAACATCAATAATAGAAATCCAGCATGAAAGAGAATACTCTGACAGAGCTAACAGTCAGCCATTCAAAAGCATACTCTAGAAAAACTGCTCTTATCCTCACTGATCTGAAACTTTGGGCATAATATGATTTAAGATACAAAAGCATTATAGTTAAAGCTTGATAATGACATCAGGAATACCAAACGTGGAAGCACTGATTTTGTTTGTCAGTTGTTTTAAAGAAAATAAGTTTAATTTGAAAGTGCTGTGATATATATATATATAGGCACTGCAAAATATATGCAGTATAATCAACACAATTCAATCATATTTATTTTATGTTTACTGCTTTAGATAAAGAATAAGATCTTGAAAATACCAGTCAAATCAACATGTCAGTTCAAATGTAATTTTTCAGAAGAAAAAAAAAGAAAAAAGAAGCAAATTACAGTTCTGAGATCCAGCGAGCAGGATTTGTTTGTAAGCTGAGGGAAATTCAGAACTTGCAGGGCATGAATGCTTCACAAAACCATATGAACCCAGAGATGCAGATTTGACTCAGCATCAGTCACAGACTTTTTAGTATGTTAGCCTATATAAAGGTTTTAAAAACTGCTCAAAAAGTGCTCTAACTCCCTCTGTGATTCTCAAGCTACAGTAGCAGGCATCTTTTCCTTAACTGCAGTTCCATAATTACCGCAGTGTATTCCAGAGGTGTTAATCAATCATATAAAGTGTGTGGTTGAGTGCAGTGAATATATAACACATTTAGACATTTATAACGCATTTAGAGCTACTCCTGATGTAAAATACAAATGCACTTTCTAAATTCAGTCAACGTTAGTCCTTGTGAATATGAAGTCTTGTCAAAATTATTGTCATTGTGGAATCAAGCAGCAGCACTGATTTTAAAATAGGCTATCTCCACAAAAAAATTTACGAGGCGTCTCAAACATTCTCCTAATACCAGTATAAACCATTATAGCATCCTGTGAGTTTATTACTCATGATCTGCAGTCAATAATCTCTTTAAAAAAACTTTTTTTTTTAGCCTATAGGCTGATTATCAATAACTTGTGCACCATGAAGTCTATGCATCAATTGGAAGCAGATACATTTTAAGGGTATCACTTTTAACACAGTTTCTTTTATAAGTGAATTTAGCAGGCTATACAATGATATTTTTTTCAATCTCAGACATACTGTGTGGACCAGCCTTTTACTGGAAGAAGTCAAACCACAATAAGACAATTACAGTCTACATGGGGATATAATGCAGAAATCCCTCTCCTCCATGACTATGAAACAGCACTGATGATGGCAGTCATAAGACTCATCTCATACCTCTTCCAGCACATCGAGAGTGGCCGGTGTCTCCGCGCCACCATCAGGGGAGCTAGGCGCTGTGTCCTCCGCAGTGTCAGTTTCCAGATCTAGAGACAACATCCTGCGGCAGGTGTAACATTGCAGTCAAATATGTTAACTGCAATACTCCGTCTTTCTCAATGAAATACGCTTTAGGACGTTGTTTTACCCGGCTGTGGTGGGTTTGGGATGGATGCCAGGAACGCCGGGGATCCCGGTCTGGGTGTTCCCAATCAGGCAGACTGGGGAGGGAGGGGGAGACCGCGGGGAGACTGCGGAGGAGAGAGAGAGAGAGAGAAAGAGAGAGAGAGAGAGAGAGAGAGAGAGAGAGAGAGAGAGAGAGAGAGAGAGAGAGAGAGAGAGAGAGAGAGAGAGAGAGAGAGAGAGAGAGAGAGAGAGAGAGAGAGAGAGAGAGAGAGAGAGAGAGAGAGAGAGAGCCGAGAACTGAGTCTCATAAATGGAGACCGAAGCTGGTTCTTTGGTTTATGTGTAAACTCACTGAAATGCACTGTTTTTGAGATTGTTTTGCTAAGTTTGTCACAAATTGGGTCTGTGAAGATATATTCAACGCGAAAATTAATGTAACTAATTTCAAACTTACTTTATATTAAACATTTTATACGGTATAGGAATTAATTTATTGAAAGTTAATTCCTTGTTGAACTGCACTGATGATGAACATGTAGCCTACATAAATAAACTGCTAAAGTGAACAGAATGGAAAGGTAGTGATAAACATAGACTTTAAGACAGCTGTAATAGCTTCTCTTAAGACATTATTGCTCAAATAGAATTTTTATTATCTTTTATTCCAATGCCAGTCACTCAAAACCAGCCTCTTATAGCTTGTGACTGATATATTTTTTAAATTATGTATTTTTATAGTATAATATAAATCATAGTGAAAGGCAAACACATACTTATGAAAATACAATAGCATAACATTTCTTATGTTTTTATATATGTTAATAACGATGCAATATTTTATTTAAAGACAAAAGCTTAAACCGAAAGTACTTTTATTTTGTAATGGTTACGCATAACCCGGAAGCTGAGACACGTTTGTAAACTCCTCATGTGTTTAGAGCTAGAGTACATATTCATCCAAAATAGCTGAGAGGATCGTGGCATGAACGATCTTCCTGGCTACAGAATATTAAGCAATAAACATTAAGACTGTAAGTCATTGAAGTACACGATGCAAATTTAAGGGGTAAATGTTGAGTCATTATTAGTCCTGACATTCTTCTCTGAAATAATAGACTCCTTGGCTTGTGTTGTGTTAATTCAGGAGTTTGGGATGTTGCGGCGTCCCAAGTCCACAGACAGCGAAGCGGATCTGCTCCGGGAGCAGCAAGAGCTTCTGGCGGCGGGCGGTCAGTCCACTGTCACTGTAGTGAAGCGCCCTGATAAACGCAGAGGAGAAGACGCTGCTGGTGAACATGAGCAGGAAAAACACAGAGATGTTGTGACTATTGAAGGTAATGTAGAAATATCTGAGCTTTCTGCCAGTTATTGAATCTCATCTTTTAACAATTTCATACACATAATGATGAGTTTCATTAGACCTGCATTCATAGGATCAAGCTGATTTTTTTATGTGTGAAACAAACTATTATTCTAAAGTGTAATCACTACATTTGGGGTGAAATTAGTGTATCTGCACCTTCAGATCTTCCAGATGAGATTCCCACCTTGACCCCTGCAAAGAAGTCTCGTTTTAAACAGGAGCGGGTGCGTTTTGAAGATGAGGGCCCAGAAGAGCTACTGGACAGACATGATACCCATATCAGTGCTGTTCTCTCCAGGATCATTGTGTGTTTTATTTAATTATTACAGTCTGTTGTTTGATTGAATGATAACACAATGCCATGCTTATTGGTAATTTTTCCCTCATAACAGGAGAGGGACACGAGTGCAGTACCTGTGTTGCTCCCATGTATCACAGGCACTGCTTTCCCTAAAGTCTTAAGAAGATCTGTGGTGGAAAGTGAGGTGAGGAAACATTATACATGCACAAAATCCTTTCTTCAGTTCACTTGTTTGACGATTCTGCCTTTTTTTTTTTACTGCACATAGGGGCAGGAAAGAGCTCCAAGAGGTAGAAAAAGTATTTTTGCACGTCAAATTGCAGCACAGAGGTCTAATAATGAAGATGGTCAGTCTTTAAATGGTTCAAAGACTAGAGATCAGTCTTCTGCATCTAGACATGTGGGCTTCTCACCATTGGAGAGCATGGAGACTGAGGGACCTGAATCAGATGTTATGGGTGAGTGAGCGCTATCACATTCCAGAAAGTTTTTCATGGCTAACTAAAGCATACCATAATTTCTGTGTGTGGTTCTTTTACAGCACGTGTTGCTGGCCCCTTGCTACTTTCAGGTCAAGGACTTGCAATTGCAAATAGTGCCATGGAGACAATGAAAATCCATGAGGAGAATCAGGCAAGGTTGCAGGCGATGTCCCAGAGTGAGATACTGGAGGAACAGAGGAAGCTGCTAGCACAGCTCGGTGAGCTCAATATCTTCTTAGTTTTTACGCAAAGTGAAGTGTACAATTGTAGTGTTGTATTTGGCAGGATCCTCCATTCAAATTTGTTATAGTATTGTGAAGGGTAATTTTTTCTTTCTAAGAAATATACTGTATATGTGGTACGTTCGGCATTGGCTATGTTCAGGAAAAAAAAGACTACTGTCAAATAAAGAAGAAAATAAGAACAAATAATCAAACTGCAAGCAACATCACAAATAAATGTGACTGTTTTGTCCATGTTTTTTTCTCATCGTGGTTGTAACGTTTTGGGAAGCCAGAATGCATACACTTGCCTAATCTTCAACAAACCAAATTATAGATGCGTCGTCAGATTTAAGATGAACGACGGTGCAATAGTATGCTGAAGCGTGGGTGGAGAACAGTTTTTATTTATTTATTTTTTTTTACAGACAACTGTTACACCCCTAAAATATATTATTTGGTTCCTTAAAATGCTAATCTTCTCAATTATTGTAATTTGAGGTTTAGGGTCAGTGTATTTTTATTTTTTTAAAGAAAGTTATGCTTTTATTATGAATTCAGTTTATCAAAAGTGACATTCAGTTTATCAAAAATTAAAAAAAAAATTTATAATTAAAAAAATAAAATAAAAAATTTATCAAATAAAAGCAGCTTTGGTGAACTAAAGAAACTTCTTTAAAAACTATTAACTTTCTCAACAGTAGTATAAATGTTTGTTGCCAGAAAATGTCTAATGTTTTAGTAACACGGTTGCAAGTGTTTTTTTGTAATTAAAGCCCCCTTTCACTGACCATTTTCATAATTTTTTTGATTTTGTTTTATTGATTTTATTCTTTTCATATATTTAAGAGTTTTAGAGCTCACATTGTTGCATTATGTCAGACCCTAGATTAGTGGACTTTGTGAGATCTCGGAAGGCCCAGAGAACACCAGGATCTGAGTCATCATCCAAGCCTGTGCAAAAAGAAAACTTTCCACCTAATAGCACTTCTACAGAGTTAGACCACACAATGAAAGCTCAGGAATCTCAAAGGGATACCATGGAGGATTACGAGGAAGATAAGAATCCGCTTGCAGTTCAGCCTCCAATTACAGGTAAGTGATTTTAGCAGCAGCAGATCACACAATATAGCTACCATTTGTTTTGTGATGTAATGTTGTAAAGACAAGGTAAACCTACATATTTGTAGTTTATTTGACAAATGCTACTCATGAAGTAGGCTGAATGGGGTATTTGGACTAGTCCGCATGCATACAACATTAGAAAGTAAAGCTAATGTACAGGCCGGCGTCTTCTCAATCTTGTCAGCACAAGTGCAGCTGGATGGTTTCCAGTTCTTTATTCACCCTGGGCTTGGAACTGGCCACACATATTCTGGACTGTACACTTTGCAGATCTGTCCAGCTAAGCGGTGAGCCCAGCATGCTAAGGCAGATACATCAATTTCAATTAGTCTGATTAGAGCAGAGTTAGCTAGAGCAAGCACCAATTTGTTTTAAGGTAATAGAGATAAGAGGTACTCAATGACATTTATGGATGAAGCACATCAGAGGCTACCGTTCAGAGAACAGTTCTTCCATAGTCACACTGCCGTCAGCATGTGGTATGTGTTTGTCAATATACACGTGAATAGACTTTTTAAATAACTGAGTTTTTTATTTTTATTTTTTGCAGAGGAGGAGCTGCCCATCAAGCCACAGAAGGAATGGATTCACATGGACAAGGTGGAGCTAGACAAACTGGAATGGACTAGAGACCTTCCTGCACCCAGTAGGCTCAGCACCAAAAAGGTACAAACCATGAAACCTACAAAGGTGGTTTAATTAGTTGTGTACTTTTTTCCAAAACCCCAAACCCTAAGTATTAAGCTTTGGCACATACTTGAACTAATCCTGGAATATCTGTGCTATGCACATAAAGGATCTCTATTGTGGAAAAAAAAATTAGGTTCTGTCCATCGGTTGTTGATTGAATCACGTAGATCTGAATATGAGTTTGCAGTTATTTGTAAGAAAGAGATGGGTTTACATCACCAGAAAGAAGGCTGTCATTTCACTGTCAGTTATGAACAACAGACAGAATCTACATGTATTTAGAAAATAGTTAAATTTCATTTTATACTGACTTTAATGAGATAAATGAAATGTTCTCTGGTATTCTGTGTTCTTGTTTGTACAAATGCTTTATTACATTTTCAGGCTATGCAAGCACGGTTTGATTTCGCTGGAAGTCTCATCCCAGCCACCAAAGACCTGCCCACCCATTTGGGCCTGCATCACCATGGAGAGGAGCCAGAGGTGAGTTGCTTTAGCTAAATTCATCTCTATTTGATTGTTTTTAGACTGGCAGTGAAATATAACTGATGCCAGTACTTCTTTTAAAAGATGCTTGTATTAGTCAAATTCAGACTTGTGCATCTGTCACACGTGTAATAATATTTATAATTTTCTCTCTCTCCTCTACTCCAGCTGGCTGGATATTCACTGCAAGAGCTTTTCCTCCTCTCTCGCAGTCAGCTCAACCAACAGCGCAATCTGGCCGTCAGCACTCTCGCTAATGTCCTGACCAAAGTAAACCAATATTTAAAACACAAAAAGTTCGAGTTGATGTGAAAAGCTATTAGATCGTAGTAGATTTGATTTCACA